CAACATTCAAAAATAGCTACGCACAAAAAAACAGCTTATAACAAATCTGGCAATTTGTTGGTAACTTGTTTTTGACATGCAGACGAGACAAGGCCTCCCTACACGGTCAGTAATACTGAGTCAGTATTACTGATCAGTATTATTGACAGTATGCATTAGTTTTTACAATCTTATACGATCAGTTATTATTAATAATATTTCACTTCAGTTTGACGTGATTTGACGTATATTATTATCTATGGTGACATGGATCTTAAGGAAAAAGCATGTATTTAAATCCAAATCATCGTCAGTATTCTATCTATGTCAATCCATCTGGAGACACGGTAGTGTCTCGGTTAATATTAACCACACACAATCAATAATATTGTCAGTATTCGTTGATACTGACAGTATTACTGACCGTGTACAGAGGCCTATACACACATTAATTTGCTGAAGAGGACTCCAAAGTGAACCAAAATGAATAAATTATTTGGATTACATCGTAAATTGTAGAATAAAGGAGTACTATTTTGTTTTACTTTATTGCTTTGCGTTCTAATAACTGTGCTATACTCTCATTCATTCTATTATTTTTTTTCTACTTCTGATTGTATATAAAATATTATATATTATAATCTAACCTGAGATCGTATCATAACGTGTGTTACACGATCATCAGTCCGTACTGATAGTACAAAATCGCCAGGTTTACTTTGAGACTCACGCACCAAGAAAGATCCATTTTTTCCACGTTCCAGCATTAACCGTTCTGCTTCTTTCGCTGACAAATGGCCATGGAACCACCTTTAATAACATATTTGACTATTACTACATAATAATACTATACAATAATTTAAAATAATATCAACGAATATAAATTATTTTAAAAGATTTATATAAAAAGATAAAACATATATAAACATAAAACATGTATAAATATTCTGTGAAATATAATTATAAATTTGTACCTTTCAGTTGTAGGGTCAGCACAATTGAGAGGAAATCTAAGTTCAATAATTTCACCATTTTTCTCGCGTAACTGTCCACCATTTTCCATGTAAAATTGTACTAATTCAGAAAGAGTAGCAAATTTTTCACCGCCATAAAGATCATAGAAGTCTCCTGCATTTTTTATTTTAATATGAGTCACTTCACCATTCCGTCTAAAAATAATGAAAATAAAAATATCAGATACTATGTATTAGTATATTTACATGATTTATAATTAATTGTGTAGTGATAAATTAAACGTAGTTTTATATATACCTAACAGACAATGTAAAGTCACCAGGATTTGAAGAACTTGGTCTTGCTAAAAATGAACTGTCAACTCCTCGTTCCATTAACAAACGTTCCGCCTCCAAACCTGTAATATTGGGGTGAAACCATCTGCAAGTAAAACATTATTTACATTAATATTATTTGTATTACACACATTTGATATTAACAATTTATTAATAATTAAAGAAATAACTAAATACACTCAATAAGTGTATAAGTGTGTTCAGAAAGACGCTATTGGTCCTATTTATAATATGTTATTCTGTCCTTATTTTATGTTTAATAAATAAATGATAAGGATAGAATAAATGCATTCAGCAAAAAAAAAAAAAAAAACAGCAATTTATAACTGTTATAAGATACTTTAATATGATTGATTTATGTATTTAGAAATCCAGTAAAAACTAAAAGTAAAACTAATGATATTGAAGAATTTTACAACAATTGCAAAGCTATTTTTTCTGCTAAACACAGCTAATAAGTGTGTTCAAGCAGACAAAACAATTAGCTCATTCGTTGAAAAAAATGAACAAATGTTTGTTACTTATAAATACAATCAATTAGATTCATTTGTTTAGGAAGCAGTTTTATCCAGCTTGAATGCATCTATTGATACAAATGGTGATTGTTTCTCTCTGAACACATTTCATAAGTACACTATAGATTTAGTCAATACACATTTAAGACATAAGTGGGTGCTTTCCAGCTACGACACAGCAATCACCTCATCTTTATTTAACATTAGCGAATGACAAGGATGCAACAATTGCCGTGTCACTTCTGTGTTTCTTGTTGGATAATAATCTTATGCGTAGATATTATTTTTTTATACATTAAAATGATCCAGATGACTTATGAATGTATTTCTTATATCATACATATATTAAAATGTAAATACTCTAAAACGCCAACCGAAAATTGGCAACCATAACCAAGAGTATCCGACTATGCTTTTCTGCTGTGTTCAATTGTGCCGTGCCGTGTTGTTGTTGGAAAGCACCGCGTTCAACACTGTGTTACACAGTGTCTACTTGTATCATAACTGGAAATTACCCAAAACTTGTGTCAGTTCTTATGCATTAGGCTGGGTCCACAACCTATTTTTAAAAGACTCTTAACCATAAAGCTGTAAGAAATTGACCAATCACAGTAGATTATTTTTCTCGCAATCAACTATGATTGGTCAATTTCTTATGGCTTTACGGCTTAGAGCCTCTTAAAGTAAGGTTGTGGACTCAGTCTTATCAAAGAAATAAGGATTAAGTTAGAAGATAGTCTTAAGGTTATAAATCAACCTTCCTGCTAAGGCCTTTAATATGACATGAAACTGATTCTACAATGAGTCTATAATCAGAAGTTTTAGTCTTAATAGGTAAAGTTGATCAATCATCATTAGTTGTACAAGTTGGCTATTAATCAACTTTATCAATAAGACTTAGGACTACTGACTACAGAATCATTATAGAATCAGTATTAGATTTGAAACTGATTATCAATAGTAGAATTAGCATATTATATACCCTGATTACACATTATATACAAAATAGCATATTATATACCCTGATTGACCCATAATAGAATTAGCACATTATATACAATCATATTGCAGTCTATCAGGAAATGTCTATCATGGAACATGTCAGAATGAATTCCAATCAAAATTATTTTCTCTAGAAGAAAATACGTAGAGAGCTTTCCAACAAGTGACACTGCATAACACAGTGACATTTCATCTTTGTTTAACGTTGGCGAACAACAAGGATGTAATATGTTACACTATGTCGCTTGTGTCTTTTGCTGAAAAGCTCCCATGGAAATCCAGAGAATAATTGAATAATTCCAATCGCGCGCACAGGATTGATTCTGACTTGTTCCGTGATATGTGCAAGGTGGAACAAGAGCAGAAAGTATCATACCAAAAATGGTAACAAAACACATAAATGCCGCACCTTGTACGACCAGGTGGTGACGATTCGTTCCTTTGTACATTCGCTGGCATCGTTCCTTCACAAGCAAAACGCAATTGATATTCTTTATTCTCGTAATTAGCATGCGTCAACAAACAAGAGTGAAGCCCGGATAGCATTTAAAGTTGTGAGAGATTGCGGTTGAACCATTGATCCGTCCTGCTAATGCCCGTGATCGAAGATCAGATTGCACTTGAGATCACATGTGTTTACATCGTTAGAATGAGTAATGTTTTTCCGCAAGTATCACTTTTACAAAAAGATACACGAGAGCTTAAATTACAACGGTCTCGCAATCACAAAATTATACACACGTTTGTTTCTCAAACGCGGCGAAATGTCTCACCTGCGAGATACCATACTGTAATTATTTGGACGACTTATGTTAATTATTTATTGGTCTGTTCTTTTTGACTGAACTTTTGCACTAGTTCATCTCTCTTTCTTTTCTCTCCAGAAGAACAGAAGAGGAAGAAAGATGTACTGGTGTGCAAAAGTTCAGTCAAAAAATGAACAGGCTTAATAAGTAATTCACAATAACCCATTAAAGCGCACACGATTCGCCTCGAATGATCATGACATACTTTACAGTTCGCAGTTTATCGATTGTATGTACATCAGATTATCAGATTGAGAACGATGCCAATACCATCGTCATCTCTAAACATGGGCCACTCCAAGCCTGCTCTATCTGCTACACCAGGCTTGTGCGAAAACAAAAAACCTTCGATCGCGCTTGATGTATGTGGATACATAAATAAAGGTACATTTACATGTAACTGCATGGTAACAACCAATCAGCGAGGCGATACGAGCAGTGGCGTAAAAAATATTTTCTTCGCCACTGGCTATATTGCCACGCTGATTGGTCGCTGCTTGACGCTTGACAGTTGCATGCGAATGTACCTTAAGCTGGTTCTACATTAAGCCCATTCTACATTGGTTGTATCGTAGGCGTCGCATGTCACAAACTTGTTACAACAGCCAATCCGAAGTGTCAATTTAAAGTCTCACGACGCTTACCACGCTACGATACGACCAATGTAGAATGGGCTTTAGACCGCTGAACCAATGAGGATCTTATGTTAATTAATATGGCAACTTAAAAGACCGCAGCACACACTTTTGCATAACGCATAAACCATATATATAAAGAATTTGATTGGTCCATTAACTCATGCGTAAGAAAATGGGCTAATGAAATTCCTTATTCATATGCTTTATGCTGCGGCCTTTAACTGGATGCTTGTTGGTCCAACAGTTTTATGTTATGCCATATACATTTCATGTGCGATAGGCTTAAGCGGGGAGCACAGCTTTTGCATAACGCATAAACCATATACATAAAGAATTTGATTGGTCCATTGACTCATGCATAAGAAAATGGACCAATGAAATTCCTTATGTATATGTATTATGCGTTATGCAAAAGTCTGTGCTCCCCGCTTAACGCCTATTCTACAATTCCTTAAGCCACAAAAATTGACCAATTGTAATCGATTATTCTCCTCATATACAATTACGATTGGTCAATTTTTACGGTTTATTGTAGAATTGGCTGGGAAATGCGATTGGATAATTTTCTTTATGCATGCGTTTATGCAGCTATTCAAGTTTGTGTGTATATAGCTTTAGGACTCGCGAAGTCGTATTCGTAGTATTCGCGTGCAAAGCGTCGTGCGTCGCTGCTGTACGGCATCGCACGACGTGCAACTCGTATCTGTTCGTATTGCCATCGTCTTGAACTGGCGTTTTGGGTAGTTTAGTTTGGCTGTGTGAATCAGTGTGATTTGGTGAACGAAGAGTGTAAATTGAAGTTGTATATGGAAGCTCGTTATTGGAACATGGCAGTGATCGAGTGATGATTTCGGGACTTCACTCTTGTGACAGTTGGGATATTTTCCGTGATTTCTGACACCGATGAAACGACAATATGAACGGCTGGCCCGACGTACCAACTCGGACCCGCTGATACACAGACGGAAAACAAAAACGCTTGGGTCGTCGTGAACGAGTTTTCTACAGGTGACTCGCTTTTTACGAGTTTTCCATTTACCACGCGTAAAAAAAGTCTTGCACATACCAACGAGAAATGCAGTCTGGGCAACTCGTTTGAATCTCAACGATGTTTTCACCGGACTACCACAGTGAGTCTGTAATCGGGAGTCCTAAGTCGGTTCTAAATCTGTGAAATTGGCCAATAGCCAATTTGCACGACTATAAGGTTATGACTGGTTAAGACCGACTCATTGTAGAAGTGTAGAACAGCCCTTTATAATTTCGTTAAGATGCAACGGTAAATTGTTATGAAACGCAATTTGGATCGGTCGGTTTCGTAAATGCCTCTTCTGACTGATAATCGGAATAACAGCAAGTTGAAAGACGAAAACGCTCAAGTTATGTGTATGTACGAAGGCCGTATTGACCTCCAATCAACTTGTAGTAGGCATGTGCCATTAATATAAAATTATAAAAAGAAGAAAGATGTGTACGTATGAGTGCCGATATATCTATCTATGACATGCCGCTATATCTAGAGGGATGAGGATGAGATTGAGTGTCCTTGATTGTCCATCCCCTCCCCCTTCCCCGCGACATTGTGGCTGTGTTCCGTAAAGCGCATGGTATTATTTTCTTTGTTTAACGTTCTGTAAACAAGAACAAAATGATACATTACGTACATCATGCGTTTCGCGTAACCCAGCTCGTATTTATTGCTGATCGCGTTTGACCAACTATCATACGGTTTATTATATTTTATTGGATAGTTGCCGTCGCTGTCACTCTCGTATACCGTTAGTCTCCCACGTGTAGTGGTAAAATTTAATCGTGAAGTAGTGGTCCGAGTCACACGAGAAGCATCCAAACGCTGCAATAGTATTTATTTTGTCAAGGAGTAGGAAAGGAAGGAGAAGAAAGAGGTGGTGGTAGCGGTGGAGTCGGCGAAAGACAGATAATTCGTGTGATAAATACGCGGTCGCACACTATTCCGATATCGCGTCGTGTGGGTACTCCCATGCTGTGGACGCTGTGGACAACAGTTTTCTTGTCTTGCATTCCACTCTCGTATAGCGAGTCGATGAGCCTCCCAATTAGGGAACAGTAGCAAGTGACAGAAATGGGACGTGGAACCCCTAATTGATACTAGTATATTATATTTATGTACACGCGCGTATAAGGGTTCACACACACATGCGCGCGCGTGCGCACGTACACATACATATTTGTATCTATATATGTGTATGTATACATTGACCTTGAATTCGACTATTACATTAAATGCTTTCATGTAGAATGGAATTATCCCTTTTTCCATTGTTTTCTTTATGTAAGCTAAATACAAATGAATTTATCTAAGTGGCTTCAATGTTTGAAACTGAGATCTTATAATTATATATGACTATTTTTATTGAGGCATATAATTTTTATTTAAAAACAAACTCATAATTATATATTGATTGATATATACATATGATATATTTTATTTCGCAATTATTGCACTACAGTTGTAAAAATGATAATAGAAGCACCTATTACAAAAACGCCTGTTTTGTGTATTAATGGAAACGTCTGTTTTGTGTATTAATGGATGCAGATCATGTCCGTTTAATAAAACGAGAGGATAATGGATGGAACACGAGCAGCGGAAGTATTGCCATTGCTGCAAGAACGTTTGGCAATACTACCAGGTGGAAGGGATCGTAGGGGAGGACCTGTGCTTCTTTTTCCAAGCACACCGAGACGCGAACGTGCAAAACCTGAGGATTACAGACGTCTTCTACAATATCTGTTTGCTATCCCGAGTGATGAAGCCAGGGGCTTGCGATTTACCGTGATTGTGGATATGCGTGGTACAACGTGGGACTCGGTCAAACCAATTTTGAAGGTGATTACATTCTTCTTTTTTAATGTCTACATTTAGAAGTGTTATTTGCTCCTCACGTTGTATCAATTTTGTAGAAATACATGTGAATATCAAGTATAATAGTAATTTAAAATATTTTTAGGTGTTACACGAGCATTTTCATCGTATAGTTCATGTAGCTTTTCTTATTAAACCAGAGAACTTTTGGCAGAAACAGAGAACTTCGTTGGGTAAACAGAAGAAGTATAATTTTGAGGTGAGTAATTTATAATTATTATGTATTTATTTGATTTATTATGTATATGTTTAACTTTGATTATACTTCAACTATTATATTTATAACAGAGTTAGATAAGATTGACTTTTTTCAACTAAGTTAAGTTGAAGTTAATAGCTTTGAAAATTTAATTTATAATTATAATAATTAAAATACAGGTTAATGCATAATGAAATAAATTAAATTAAATATTAAGTTAATAAAAAAGTAATTAAAAGGTTAAAATTTTATTTCATGATTTCAATGTTTTAATCGTTTAAATAACAGAAATAACAAATACAGTTCTAGATTTATTTAGGAAGATACTTTAGATACACATTTTGTTTATATATACTTATTAAATTTAAGTTAAAAGAATTGATTAATAAAGCTATTTCGAAATTTGTGTCAGACATTTTGTTTCCAAAGTTGTCGAAAACGAGTCTGTTTTATATGCGAACAAATTTGTATGAGTTCAAAAATCCCATGTAACATAGAGTTAGTTATTGGTAGATGCACAGCATTTCGCGACTCCTTTATTTACAGAATGGCTAACATCAAAAAAGTTAAATTAAAAGTTAGTAGTAATAATAGTAACTCTAGATTAAGTTTAAAAGTTAAGAGTCTACAATATAACTGAGTTAAATTATAATTATTTAATTTTTTTAACTTAACTTTTTAAGTAGTCATTGCCTAAACTTGATTTATAAATACTTGTAATGTTATCAATATAAACTACATTAATTTCAGATTAATACAATCAGCTTAGAGGCTCTTGTAAAGGTTATAGATCCTTCTCAGCTCACTGCAGATTTAGATGGATCCTTGCAATATGATCATGCTCAGTGGATCGATACTAGATTAGTTGTAGAAGATTTTACATGGCAGGCAGCAGATCTTCTCGATCGATTAGATGACTTGCAAGAGGATCTCAGTCGAAATGACTTCGCTGACGATGTTGCAGGGGCTAAGCATGGAATTGATCTACATAATGAGATGAAAAAAAAGATCATGAAAGTTCCAGTGGAAGATATCGAAGTTGTTGGACAACGCTTGCTTCAGCGATTTAACAATGGTCAGTGAGCATTTTTCATATTTTATTTTTGAAAAAAAAATAGTGACAAACAAGCACAAAGTCTTTCAATTCACGTAAATATGTACATGCATGTAAACTTGTAAATATATTTTCAGACGCAACAGCAACCAGTGGAGAAGGAGGAAGTATTGACTGTGGCGCGGCAAGTTGCGCAGATTCTGATGGACAAGCACTGGCTACCTTAGTTATTCAACATTTGGATTCCGTGCACGCTGCGCAACAACATCTATTACAGTTATGGCACATCAAGAAGATGAAATTAGATCAATGTTTTCAGCTGCGATTATTCGAGCAAGATTGCGAGAAAATGTTTGATTGGATTTGTCACAACCGAGAAGCATTTCTTACCAGTTACGTGGAGATTGGCCGTTCGTATCAGTTGGCCAAAAATTTGCAGGAGGAACATAAACATTTTACAATGAGCTCAATGAATGTTTACGTGAATATAAATAAAATTCTCACAATGGCTGGCAAATTGCTGGAGACACAACATTATGCGGCTGGGCATGTACGAGCGGTGGCGGGACGCCTGGATCAAGCTTGGAAGGAATTTGCCGCAGGTCTCGATGAACGTACCGCGGTACTTAGTTTAAGTGTAGTGTTTCATCACAAAGCGGAACAGTATGTCGATAATGTAACTGGCTGGAGTCAAGCGTGCGAGATGAGTAATCTACCCAGTGAAATTCCAGTTCTTGAATCTCACATTCGTCAACACCAAACTCTTTATGAAGCAATGTGTCAAGCGTATACAGAGGTAAGTACTTTTGTCCCATCTTTACATACATTTACCATTATTCAACATGTCGGATTCAAGCGTAACGTAATGTTGGGAATAGATAAAATGATTTTTACATTATTGTAAATTATTTCAACTTTCACATATTTCTTTTCGTTTACATTGTAAATTTATCTGACATTTATCTGACAGGTTTATAATGCATATCAAGCATTATTGAGCGGCCTGGGTTCAATGCTGCAAGTATGTCATAATGTGAGCGCCCATTCTTCAGGGTCGGATACATTTCGTGTCGATTATGTACGAAAAATTTAATTTTTAAAGCTTTTAGCGATGGAATCCATTGCTTGGTATTTGGGTGCTATTGGAAATATCTCTATTCGCAAATTTTCTGCAATGATTAACATTTAAAGTAATTTTCTTATAACCCAGGCGTCTCAGTATTCTTAAACAGATTTTTGTATATAGGCGCATGTTTATTTATTACCGGTATTCGTTACTACGGTGTTGTCATTCTATTGTTTATCGCACAACGTTGATTAAAAATTTATTTATATTACAAATTTATCCTGTCATGTGTAATGCCATATTCAAAATGAACTTGTATATATGAATGTTTCTTATAATTAAGTGGGATTGGATAAAATTCTTATTTAGGTGCATAGTACCAGTAAGAAGCTTCTTTATCAACTGGATCATCTTGTACAAGTCTGCAATCAACCACAAGGAATTGACTATGTCGCCAGAAAACATGTACGTTAATTAGTGTTTTTCTTTCCTCATGATTGTGTTCTTGTATATTTAATTTTTTAAGAACACAAAGCTTAATTTATACATATATAGGGTGTTCTATTCAATGTAATCACCACCTTTTATATCTTTGCTTATTAAAAAATATAGACACATTCCACATGTCAGAAATCCATTTAAAAAAGAGAAATACTCTCTTTAAAAAATTTTTTTTAATTCTCAAAATTCAGTATATATGTAAAAAATATTATAAACTTTATCGCTAGACACCCTGTAAAGAGAATTTTGAGACTATAATGGAATTCTATTACGATTCTAAAACCTTTTTATATGGTAATACCGTATTTTGCATACTTGTACATGAAGAATTTTTTCAAATTTTTAAAAGGAATATAATTTTTTATTTATTCGCTTAACTTTCTATCTGTATACAGGAGTGCAAACACACCAAGCTAAAAGTATAAATAAAAAGTTAACGGATGGAAAATTTCCAATTTTTTCTTAGAAATATCTGTATATGTTAACGTTAAAATATATGTAGAGAGAGGGGGGGAGAGAGAGAGAGAGAGAGAGAGAGAGAGAGAGAGAGAGAGAGAGAGAGACATTTTTCATATTTCTTAAATTTTTTAAAACGTTTTCCTTCAATATTTTAGATGCAAAGCGTATAATACTTTTTTTGATTTTTAATTTTACACTATGTTTGCACTAACATGTTTTCATGATCATTTTAAAACATTCCAAGCATTTTATGCTTTTCAGATGGATCCCTGATACGCGGAATGTATCATATACAATATAAAAATTCTGTAGTCTGGAGGGGAAATAAGTAATAATAAAATTGATTCTTTTTAAATTAATTATTTAAGGCCAGATAAAGATTATTGTCATTTTAAAAAATGGAATTGTTTCCCTATGTAAGATGATTTTTCTAAATAATTAGTTTGCTTATAAAAATAAAGGTATCAAAAAATCAATAGTTCATGAGATATTTTATATTTTATATTGAAGCACACTTTGACATTAAATATAAAACATCTCATGAACTATTTATTTTTTTATAATTGTGCCTTTATATCTTTATGAATAGAATAATGCAATGAATCAATTAGTATAAGAAAATACAAAATTACTTTAAAAAAAAATTATGTAATTTGAAATATGATTATTCTATGCATGAAAATATTAAGATACATTTATTAAAAATTTAGTTTCCAAGATATCTTACACTTTGTCATATAATATGCCAGAATAAAGTATAAAATGTATTTAATAAACTATTTAATTTTTTGATAATTCTATCTTGATGTTTTTATATAATATGTAGAGTAATTAAAATTAAAAGAAAGAAAGAGAGGGAGATAATTACTTCATGTAAAGGAATCATAATTTCATTTTTTTTTTAATGGAAATGATTTTTATATAATCTTAAAAAATGATTTTTTTTTTTAAGATTATTGAGTCTCGTTATAATTTTAATATTTTTTAAATACGCAGCACACATGCGCACACACTCACTCACTCACTCACACACTACTTTTTCATATATTTTTAAATTTCGCTATTAAATCGATTATTTTATACGAATCACCTGGTATATACATATATGCGTGTGTATGTGCTCATGCGTATATCTAGGGTATTCTGAAATATAAGATATTCTGAAATTCAAAAGTAATATTATTGCAATGTGAAAAATTAAGCAATAAAATGTAAATAATTTTTTCCGAAGTAGTCTTAATGTTTAAAGTTTTATTAATCATAAGTATTGGTTAAAAAATCATCCGTTCATGTAATGTGCGTGCAATATACATATTATCACACAACAGATAATTTTTTAACCAACATTTGTTTGACGTCAAACGTTTATACTTCAAAAAAATACTACTTTAAAAAATGGCTTACACTTTTATCATTTCATTTTTTACAAAGTTTCACTCTGCAATAATATTGTGTGTATGTTCCACGGTAATATCACTTTAGTTAGATTGACAATACAATCTAACAAATTTCGATGCTTATAGCATCTTATTAGATCTTAATAATATGTTATTATTAACATATTATTAACATATTATTAAGATCTAATAAGATGCTATAAGCATCGAAATTTGTTAGATTGTATTGTCAATCTAACTAAAGTGATATTACCGTGGTAGTTATTTAGAGTTGCGTTGTAAGTCTGAAAAAATGTTCGGCACGCGATTTAATATAACTACCGCGATATATAAATTCACACTTAATGATAATAAGCATCTTGATCTAGCTTTGACCGATAGGCTTCGCTTTGTGTTTCCTTCTTTCTTGTTATTGTTTAACAATGTACGGTCGTAAAATAAGATTCTATTATTTGTTAAGATAATTTTTTAACCAACATTTGTTTGACGTCAAACGTTTATACTTCAAAAAAATACTACTTTAAAAAATGGCTTACACTTTTATCATTTCATTTTTTACAAAGTTTCACTCTGCAATAATATTGTGTGTATGTGCGCGCGTGTGTGTATCTTGTATACATCGTTTCCTGAAAAAAAAAAAAAAAGGTTATTATTGAGCGAGATAGCAAGTATTTTCATCATTCTTCTATTTAAACTCCTCTTTGTATGAAATAGAAGGAATTATTAATCTGTAAAATTGTTCTGCAAATATTACTTTTTAAGAGGGATTAGTATACAAATGTGCTTGTTTATGCTGTAATAATAATTAATATAATAACTATGTAAAAGCTCATTAGAATAATATCTAATGATCCTGATCGGGATGCATGCAGTATTGTTGAATCAATTAATATATAATTCATCTTCGATTGTATTATAGTTGATATTTTTATATCTAATTTAGAGTCAAGATGGACACAGTATTGACAGTCACACCGGCACGAGTGGTAATCCAGCAGCTGATTATAGCGAAGGCGCATCTCATGTATTAGCTGTCATTCATCAGATTCTGGGTCATCACAGAGCATTGGAAGCGCGCTGGCATGCTCGCAAAGTCAAGTTGCATCAACGACTTGCATTAAAGTATGAAAATAATAAAGCTTACTTATTGTTACATTGATAATAACGCATTGTAATTTTCAGATTATTTCAAGAAGATGTAAAACAAGTTCTCGACTGGCTGACTAATCATGGTGAAGTTTTCATTAGGAAAAACACAGGCGTAGGTCGTAATCTGCAGAAAGCACGCGTTTATCAGAAAAGCCATGAACATTTTGAAAATGTTGCTCAGGTGATTGTTTAGTATATGTATTTAATAATATATAAGGTAAAACTCCTGTTTAGAGGAGGCATCTCCAATTACCTCGACTTTGACATATGTTGTCAAGATCATAATCCTGAGTGACCTCCAACAGGTTTTAATCGTTACTCATTAAAAAGTCATTAACAAAGTTTTAAAAATAATGTCTTATTTCTACTGTATACCATATTAAATACTGTTCTACACATACAAGAGTTTTACCATATATAATATTTTTTTACATATAATTCTCATGTGTTTCCATAAACATATTTCACATTTTTTCATTTATAGAATACTTACACAAATGCAACTAAGCTTTTAACTGCTGCTGAAGAACTTGCTCATACAGGGGAATGTGCACCTGATGAAATATATGCAGTGGCACAAGAATTGGAGGCTCACGTTAGTAGCTTCGCAGCAAGAGTCGAGCAACGGCGTCGCAGATTAGATCTGGCAGTGGTATTTTATACTCATGAAAAGGAGGTATATCTTTGTACAAATTGATCATATCTAACAAGAGAAATATCAGAATATATTGTCTCTGATTCGGCTGAATTGCACGCACGCACATATATATATATATATATACATATAATAAAATTAGCAATCCAATTAATTTCAAATTACAATATAAAGTGTACCTCTCAAGCATTTGCGAGAAAAACGTTTAAAGATTCACGTGTTGTATGTACCGGTCGGTAAGAATGAATTGGCGAGAAACGGCATGACATAGTGAGTAAGACCGATATTCTTTGTGTTGTACGAGGAATATGTATTATATATGTATAATATGTGTGTGCGTACGTGTGTAATTTGGTCAAATCGGAAACAATACATCCTGGTGTATTCCCCTTATAAATTTATTTATATCAAGTAGTACCTAATCCGTAAAATGTGCAAATATATGCATGCGTGCTATCTTTAATGTGATCTTGTTTTACAGCTCACCGGTTGGGTAGACGAGTTACGTCAGGAATTGCAACAGGATGAGGTTGCGGAAAATCTGGAAACAGCGGAAAGGTTGTTGGAACAATGTGCTCAGCATAGATCGTCCTGTCTTGAGGCGTGCGCTTCGACAATAGCCCAGGGCGAAGCACTATTGCAAGAATTGCGCGAGGCAACCGACGCGCCCGACACAACCGGCTCAATATCGGCGGTGGAATCAGCCTTGGATAGATTAGCAAGCTTGAGACAAGAATTGGAAGACTTGTGGGCCACCAAAAAGCTGAGACTAGAACTGTGTCTACGATTACGCGTCTTCGAGCGCGACGCATTAGAGACTAGTGGTCAGCTGGAGATGTGGACACAAGAGCTGCAGGGCCCACCGCGAGAAGGTTCTCCAGAACAGTTGCTGCGCGTGCACAACGATGGAGTCGCCCATATGCAAAATACCGCTTTCCAAATTCTACATCGTGGTCAAGAATTGGCGCAAGTTTTGGAGGAAGCAGGGTTGTGTATTATGGCGGACGGTCAACATAGTGCGGCAGCGCGGGTGCAGGTGCTTCTCGAGTTTTTAAATGAGAGAGAACTGGATGCAGAGGACCTCGCAGAAATGCGAAGAGTACGGCTAGAGCAAGCTTCTCAATTACTGCAACTGCAGACGGACGCTTCTCATGTGATTAAGTGGATACGAAACGGTGAATCGATATTATTGGCTTCGCTGAGGATACCAGACGATTTTGAAGATGCCGATCAATTAGGAAAGGAACACTATCATTTTCAACTTGCGATAACAAATACTCATGCGTCTGCCGTACAAGTGAAGCATAAAGCGGATTCTTTGATAAGCGGGAATCATTACGACCCTAAAAGTATTAGGGAGGTCGCGGAGGATGTTACCAAACGATGGCAACAACTAGTGACCTGTGCGGAAGAACGACATAAATTAATTACTGCCAGTTTAAACTTTTACAAAACAGTAGATTCGGTACGTTCGGTTCTCGACAGTTTAGAACTGCAATATAACGTGGATGACGATTGGTGTGCCGATGGAGAAAAAGCCTCCGGCATACCGGCGAATATTACAAGACACCAGGAGCAAAAGGAAGCCTTTCTAAAAGCGTGCACGTTGGTACGACGAACCGGAGAAACGTTTTTAAAGTATATCAATCGTAGTCTACAATTTTATAGTTACCACGCTAATAGCGCTGGTTCCGCGAACAAAGTGAAAAATATTTTGGAGGAGTTAGTTAGTAAAGAAAACAAAGTGCTCGAATATTGGACTCAACGAAAGAAACGATTAGATCAATGTCATCAGTATGTTCTGTTTGAACGTAGTGCAAAACAGGCTCTCGAGTGGATAAAAGAAACTGGGGAATTATATTTAGCGACGCATACCAACGTCGGTAAGAATCGCATAGAAAATGAACAACTATTGCAAGAGCATATCGAGTTCAAGGGTGCAGCGAAGGAAACGAGAGAAAGAGTGAAATTGTTGATTCAACTCGCTGACAATTTAGTCGAGAGGGGTCATGCTCATGCCGCGGCGATCAAACAAGCTGTTGCCGAAGTCGATCAACGATACAAGGACTTTAGTGCGCGAATGGATTGCTACAAAACACAAATCGAAGGCGATCTAGGTATTCAACCTGATGAGGTGCATAGAGATCTCTCTATCGATCGGAATTCGGATCCATTGCTGGAAGAGAAGATCAAAGGTAAAGATCTGAAAGAATTAAACGAGGAGAAGAGAAGATCTGCACGAAGGAAAGAATTTATTATGGCTGAACTGTTACAAACTGAACGTACGTACGTGAAAGATTTAGAAACTTGTATCCGTTGCTTCCTCGACGAGACACGATGCGGAAAGGGAAACGTTCCAATGGGTTTACAAAGTCGGGAAACAATCATTTTTAGCAATATAGAGGAGATACATCAGTTTCACAGCAATGTATTTTTACGTGAGCTAGAAAAGTACGAAACCATGCCAGAGGATGTGGGACATTGTTTTGTAGTGTGGGTGAGTATTTTTACATCGATGTATTAGGAGCACAGCTTTACGTATATCCTATCTCGTTCTAGGCACCGAAATTTGACATGTATGTAACTTACTGTAAGAATAAACCCGAGAGCAATCAACTATTAATAACGCACAGTGGAACGTGGTTTGAGGAATTGCAGAGAAAACATAGAGTGGAACATCCTATCGCTGCATATCTAATCAAACCTGTACAGAGAATTACCAAATATCAGTTGTTACTGAAGGACTTACAGGTATTATGTGTATCTCAAACTTGTAATGTCATTTTAAATTGCTTTTTTAAATATTTTAAATATTCTCTTCTTTTTTCAGGCTTGTTGCCAAGAAGGACAGGGTGAAATAAAAGAAGGATTAGAAGTAATGTTAAATGTGCCTAAAAAAGCTAACGATGCCTTACACTTAAGTCTACTAGAAGGTTGCGACGTTAGTATAGATGCGCTCGGTGATGTTGTATTGCAAGATTCGTTCACAGTATGGGACCCAAAACAGTTGATCAGGAAAGGAAGAGATCGTCATATATTTCTTTTTGAATTGTATCTTCTCTTTACAAAGGAAGTAAAAGATTCTGCAGGAAAGGTTTGCACGAAACTTTTTCTTTTTCGTCAAATAAAATTTCTAGTACATATATATATATATATATATGTATAATTGTCCATCTGTTTGCCTAGGTGAAGTACGTTTACAAAAATCGTCTGTTGACCTCCGAATTGGGCGTAACCGAACATATCGAAGGTGACGAATGCAAATTCGCGGTATGGACAGGACGAGCACCGACCAGCGACACACGCGTAGTGTTGCGGGCGAACTCGATGGACGCAAAACAGCTGTGGGTGATGCGGTTACGCGAGGTGATACAGGAAACCTTTTTGGGCAAGAATATGCCTAAGAGCCCCGCTAAAAAGAGCTCCAGTCAACGCTCTAGCAGAGATCTGGAGGAGTGTGCATCCTTGGACGAGAGTGTGGAGAATCTCGACAGAAATTCCTTGGCTTCCTTCGGTTCGACTAACACTACAGATTCTGATAAGGTAAAGCATGATTTTTTACTATATATTTTTTTTCAATAAAAATCTGGAGACACGGTAATGTCTCGGTCTATATTTTACGCGGCTTCTGACAACTCAAAAGAACATATATGTATATAATTTGTGATTTTTGTTACTGCACTAACAATAAGAATAGAGTTTGATAAAAATTATAAGCGATTTTTATCATGGCATCAGAAGGAATAAATTGAAAAAATTACATGACGTTTGAATGTTATATAGAAACATGCTTTTTATGCGTGATATAATTAATATAATAATTCATTTTGTTTACACAAATACATTCTTATTTAATAAGAAAAAAAATCGATGAGTAGTTCACAATTACATACTTCAAATAAAACGGGCGATTATTATTATTCTCATTTCCTTAAATAAACATTATTTAATTTATATTTAAAGATAATTCGCGATATGCTTCTTTTTAATTAATATATAATCTATTCTATTGATATATTATTTTTTTTTTAAATATAGAACTGCTTCACGCATTAGAATAGATTAAACTAGAAAATTAAATGTCCAAAATGATGATTCATTAAGTGATTACTACATTGCTCCAATCTCAAGTCATATTTATTTCAGTTGAGCTTATCGCTTTTCGATGATATTCTTATGACAGTAACGGCTTCAACTTGTTTTTTTACGATTGTGCATTTGAAAAAATATACAGTGATACTCAAGTTATACAGAATTTTTATTTCTAATAAGAAAATATCAAAAATGTTCCAAGTAAGTCAGTATCTTGAGTGCATTTTGCAAACAATTACGAGCCATAATTAAATTTTTTCTTTATCTATATGACAATCTGATCAATAATCGAGCTAAGTAAAAGATGTAAAAAAATAATTAAAACATTATCAAGAGCACATTTTGTGACCACAGGTTTTTCTTCAAAACATATAATTAATAATATTAACATATAATTAATAATAATATAACATGTAATTAATAATATCAAAAACTTTGTTGACTAATTGTTATTTAAAGCTAATGAGCTTGTGTCTTAACGTTTCTTTTTAAAACAAAATCAAATGTATTGATCAATAAATGACAGAGAGCATAGGTTCATGAGAACATTTTGCTACAGTCTCCTAATCATTATCAACCGCATCTTCAAGATATAGACTGTAAATATTTTTCTTCATTTTCTTCGGAACGTAAAAATTTGATTTCTCTTTCTCTCTCACGTGCGAACTAACTCTTATTTCTCAGAACGAGTTCGCTTCCGAATCAGCGCCCGTTCTGAATTCGCCGCGTACGATCCATCTGATTTCTCGCGAGTTCGCGAGAACCTCCCGCGATAGGGATGGTGACATGACCGCAACACTGGGAAACTGCTGGGAGGGCAGGTCGGGCAGGGTTGGGTGGGGCGCAACCGCGCAAGTTGGGTTGGGTTAGTTATAATCTTGTCACTCTCCGCACCAGCACGATCGCCACGGTCAGGCACGATAGGGTCGGGATCGGGGGACTGTTGGGAGGCCGATGATCAGTACGGGCGCGACTCCCGGGTCGGATGGATCCATTTAGGGATCTACCGCTGATCGCAGGACGTTCGGTGAATCGGTAAAACCCTGACCTTCTTGCCGAAGGAGGAAGGGAAAAAAGGAGTAAAAAAAGAAAGAAAAAAAACCCAGAAAGAAAACCATCGACGATGGCGGCGCGGGCGGACGCACCGCGGATCGCCGTGCGCTCGAGAATGTGCTCCGTGAATGACAACGCGCTGTCCATTACGTCGTCGTTTCTGCTCTCCTGCGCGCCACGGTCGCCCTCGTGCCTCTGAAGACCGTAAGGTCAAGTCTTCCTTATCATGACGTCACCGGCCGGGAAACCGGCAACAATTGCCCAGAAGGCGCGCCGAAAGATCTCCCTGCCGTGGTTCCGCCAGAGCTCCGCGGCACCGCCGCACGTCACCCTCTCCAGGCAGCATACCATTGACACCCCGAGCTCGTTCCAGGCTCGGCTTTTGCGCCGTCAACCATCCCTGGCCCAGGTATTCATCGCCGCGCCGCGTCGCGATCATCCGCAAATCGCAATTGATCCGCAATATCCGCAAACTTTTATCGGAGACTCGATATAGAAGCGAATTTCAATAAACTCCACGTCCTCCTCTTTTCGAAATTACGAAAGTAGCGAACGCGACTTGAGAATCGAATGACACGAATCCATCCGGATCGCCTATTCTGAGGAAAATGTTCTCAAGAGCGCGCATCATCTATTTTTCTTCCCCTTTTCTTCCTCTCGTTCGCGTGCCGCAGCTCCGCAGGTCATATATCAGTTAACGACGTTCGCGAGGAAACTTGGCACGTGTAAAATTCTATTTTGGTTGGAAATGTCATCGAAAAACGTCGGACAAATAATTACGCGCGACAAAAGAGGAAGAGAGGAGAGAGAGAGAGAGAGAGAGAGAGAGAGAGAAGCAGACGGTGTTATTGGTTGAAAACGCGGTAAACTTTCACGCTCTCCGTCAATATAATGCACGCACACACGCGGTATATTTATAGCAACGTCAAAGTATCGCGGTGTCGTGACATTAGCTATTTTCAAAACGCCGGAATCCGCGTGCGATTTAAAAGCGTCGTCGCGGAAGGGCGGGCTCGCGCGCGCGAGACGAAGAGAGAGAGAGAGAGAGATAGAGAGAGAGAGGGAGAGGGAGAGAGAGACCGATCCGACAATCAGAATCACTCGGGCGTCAGTAATCGGATCTCTGGAATCTCGCTCCGTCGATCCGCAAATTCAAAGACAATCGGTCTTTCGCGAACGGGAGAGAGGCCTCGCGGTCGCGCGACGGAGAGGACGATCGTATCGACCCATCTACGCTTGCGTAAGCACAAGACTCTTCTCTTCCTCTTCGCTCTGCTTCCCTGATGCTTTCGGATTTATCCCGCTGCACCTTTGCACCCGCCCCCGACGTATCATCGCCGCATCGCTTCCATGCACGCGCGCACCCGGACACTCGGCTAATTATCCCATTTTTCTACTCGCCCCCCCCCCCTTTCTCAACCCCTATATTCCCCCGACTATAAATCACACTGGGATTGAGAGAATCCTCGAATGCGTGATTTCAGACCGGAGTCGTCGAGATGACGTGGGTGATCGCTGATCATATGGCCGCGCCAGGCTCCAAAGAGCTCAGCGTGACGAAGGGGCAGCAGGTCGAGGTGCTGGAGAACGGTAACGCGAACATCAGCACCAGCAGCGGCATGCCCAACACTGGCGAATGGACCCTGGTGCGTCTGCCGCTTACACCCGGACAGGCCGAGCCAGCCGCGGAAGGTCTAGTTCCCACCAGCGCCCTGAAACAACCGCCAACCGCCTCCTGCAAAACTTCACCGTCCAGAAAAGCGTCCACGCAGCAACAACAGCAACAATCGCATCAGCAGCATCATCATCACCATCATCATCACCAGCCACAGCAGCAGCAGCAGCAGCAGCAGCAGCAATCGTCACATCATCATCCGTACCATCAGCAGCAGATCAATCAAGCAATCGTCCAAACGCAGCAAACTGCCGTCACGACTTCCGCCAACACGTTGCCACCGATCTGCTGTATAGCCGACATCCCGTCGATGACACAGCAATCGTCCTCGTTGACCGCGCTGTCATCCACCACAGTGCTGTCACTAATGGAGGACGCGGGTAAGTGAAAAAGATAATTTAACAGCGACTACTCTGTAACAAGTAATGGTGTATTATTGCGCGACTATAAACAAAAACTGGCATGGGGAACTGCAGGAAGTCGGTGAACCGCAAATCAAGCGCAAATCGAGCACACACTCTTACCTCTTATCAATTCCGATAACCAGCTGATAATAAAGTCGAAGTCGGAGCGCGCAATTTTAGGAATACGTAAAATAAGTGTTTTTTGAATTATTTTTTTTTAATTGACAGAAAACGCTGGAAGCGTCGACGGCAGCGGGTCGGTAACTAGTACAAATTCACCTGGCAACAAGAGGCGAGGTTTCAGCGGGTGAGCATTTCATATAGAAACTCCGTCGTCTAAATGCCTCGCGCTTATCTCGAAATGTCATACGTGCAACGATAATCACGTACCATGGCCGGGGCGTTTCTGTTTATAGACGGAAGTGGCTCCCACCTTCTTTACGCAAACTTAGCCAAGGTAAAGTCGAGAAAACCAATACAACCGCGCCGACGTCATCACCTCCTTTGATTGGGCCATCTTTGAAGAAAAACGACTCGGACAAACGCTTTAAATTACCGAGCGGCGTCGAACATAATCGGCGGCCTAGCAAGACGGCGTTCGAAGTGGAGGCTGAGGAAATCTGCAAGGAGGAGGTGGAGGGCGGGGAACAGCAGGAGGTTGAGGTAGATGTGGACGCGGATGCGCACGTTACAGAGAGCGACGACACGGTGGTGACGAGTTTGCAGGAGCAAAACGGTGGCGAAGATGCCGATGACGATTTGGAGCTTCCACCTCCGATGAAGCCTATAACCGAACCGATACTTGTAGCAACTGCGAATGGTCCATCAGGATCTACAATACCAAGTGAATTGCCCGGGAAACGAGTGAGTATTCGCGCGTCTTATCTCTGAACGAGTATCTCGATCGCCTCCTTTCATATATCTCCCCTCTCTATGTAAACTGCTTCATTTTACAGTCTGCTAGTCTGTCGGAACGTACAAAGATTCTTGATGGCGGCGCGACAACAGCCGATCTTTCGGAGATCGAGCAGATCGTCAAGGAGAGAATGGTAAGTAAAAGTCCGTTTACGTTACATACACAGGTCTATGCATTGCACCAAGTATCATTAACAGGAGCAACATACAGAAAATCAGGAGAGGCACAGTCTTATGCGCACCCCTAATGGGAAATCGTTAAGCAACGAGGAGGAATATTGTAACGCGATCACTTCCGAGGAATCAGATCCGGAGAGTACCGCGATCGCAAAGCGGCAATTTGTTATTCGCGAGCTGGTAGACACCGAGAGAGATTACGTCAATGACTTAAAGCAGATAGTTGAAGGTTACATGGCACTAATGCGAAATCCCGAGTGCGAGATTCCCTTACCAGAAGATCTACGCGCTGGAAAAGATAAGATGGTTTTCGGTAACATAGAAGCTATCTATGAGTGGCACAGAGAGTGAGTCAAATCAATCGTTAAAATTACTTTAGCCGACACCCGTTTACTTATTATCGAACCGTTCACATCGATATTTCTTCAATGTTTTCTTTTTTTTTTTTACAGTTTTTTCCTCAAAGCTTTAGAACGTTGTTTAGAACGTCCTGAAGAGCTCGGACCTCTTTTTAAACGTTACGAACGAAAGTTGCACATGTACGTGGTTTATTGTCAGAACAAGCCCGTTTCGGAATACATTGTGTCCGAATATATAGATGCTTATTTTGAGGTAATCAGTACGAAATCGATAAACGGCTACGCACAAAACGGAAACATTTAATCAAAGGGACGCGTATGTTACAGGAACTTAGGCAAAAACTTGGGCATCGTTTGCAACTCTGCGATTTGCTGATCAAGCCTGTACAAAGGATTACAAAATATCAACTTCTTCTACGGGAGGCACTTCGCCTCACTGAACGAACTCAAAGGTTATCGGAAATCGAAGGCCTCAGAGCGGCGGCTCATGTCATGCGAGTCATTCCTAAAGCTGCAAACGATATGATGGACGTTGGGAGATTACAAGGTTTTGACGTGAGTATTACTCGTTTTTCATTCACTCTCGTTTTATACGTGGTAAAAACATCCTTGAAAAATCCATTAAGTTTAATTTTCTTTAGGGTAAAATAACGGCGCAGGGAAAACTCTTGTTACACGGCCCGCTTCTTGTATCGGAAATATCAAACGTAACGATGAGAGGAAGAGAATGGCAAGTCTTTCTCTTTGAACAAAATATTATCTTCAGCGAAACTGTCGGCAAGAAAACGCAATTCACCAATCCTGTCTATATATATAAAGCACATATTCAGGTAAGATCGGTTACTTTTCATTTTTATTGTATGATCATTCTTGTTTCTGAAGAAGGCAATATCGACGTACGTAGGTAAACAATATGAGTCTCGAAGATTCGAACGACGATCCAGACAAATTTATCATCCGATCGACGGATCCCCGAAACCCTGGACTAGGATTCTCTTGTAGCGTAGCTGAAGAAAGTAGTGGACCGCGCAGGCAGGAATGGGTAGATACCATCACTGCCATCCTGCAAACTCAGCGCGATTTCCTGAAGGCGATACAATCACCGATTGCCTATCAGAAGGAACTTACCAAAGATCCACTGTAAGCGTCTCTAACACATTGAATTATATTACACATTGACTCTCTTTTAATATCCGATCTGTGAATATTCGTTCCGACATATTTTTGTATATTTTATATAAAAAGAAGATGCAATTGCCGTATAAAAGCTAGATAATCGTTAATCGTATCCTAAAGAAACCATCGCCTGCTCTCCTCTGCGCCTTCAGCCCTTCATTGCCTGCTTTCCTCTGCGCCCTTCACTTACATCTTTGTCAAAAATGAACTATTTTCCATCCATTTCAATATATCTTGGCGTCTACATTGTTATTGATACCATAAGATACTTGCACGTATCCAGTCACTTGTCTCACATTCCTTTTTTCTGGATTATCTAATTACCTTTATATCTGGTGACGATATCTTGCTTTCATAGTACAGAGGAAACGATAACAATGCAGAATTAAACTAACTATATTTACACGCAGGAACTTAAACGAGTATCTACACATAACAGTACTTACACTTGAAAACTTCTCTATCGGCTTAATAAAGAATAAAATACACTTAATACAGAAGAGCATGCAGGGTGTTTAAAAAAAAGTGCTGCATTATTTTTTAATGACTTTGATGGACGGATTTGGAAGCAAACTGTTTTTAATAAAGGGCGACTGAAAGCAGCGACAAAATTAAATTTTTTATATATACAATACACACGTGTGACTGGATATTTTTTGAAAATTATTGTTAAGGTAACGTTGCTTCCAAATTTTTGTAAAAGTCCATCATTAAAAAAACAATGCGATAGTTTTGAAACATACAAATACATAAATACATATACTTATATCTTTTCATATTCGATCACTTCTTGAAACGATTGTAGACTTGCAACTATCGCTCTATATCAAATATATACGGAAGTATATACTTTAGTGTTTTAGATTTTCATGCAAGAGTCGATGCTCTTTTTATCGTTTAATGAATCAAAAATCTACTCACCCTGTTTCCTTATAACGTATACTACTCTTCTATCTGATCCCAGGAGCTTATAAACGTGTATTAATCCGTTCCAATGCGCTTGCATTATGCGTGTATGTATTATGTATATACATTATATATGTGTATATATATATATATATACATACATATATAATGTATATGCACAACATGGGGGTGTATTTTGTTGTTTACATGCGTTTACATCTCTACACACATGCGACTTGTAACGATATGACGATATACGTGAGAGAAACGTGCTACGAGTGCGATGTATTAACGTAATGATGTATGAAGATATGTAATATATATATATGTATATATATACGCACACACATATACATATATATATATTTATAATAATTTTAATAACGTTTACAAAATCACATATGCGCGCGCACGCGCGCGCACAAGTCTATGGACAAATTGTGGCGTAAGAGTATACTGTGTATATATTAATGCGCGATACTGAAGGACAGTCTGAAACAAAGCTATAATTGACCCGCGAATCGTAAGAATTTTGTCTAGAATAAATTGTAAATTGTGATGATTAAGATCGAGTGATTGTGATATGCATCCTTTATCCTCGTCTACACGCTCAACCCGACTAATCAGCTTCTTTTCTTATAATTTTATCAAGAATACAGTACTGCGGGAAGCAAGTCCAAGTGTATCTACCATGATCACACAATCAACCTCCCACCTACCCCTCTTACCGCTATGCAATGTTGAACACACACTCGTCTATTCTTCGGCACGTCCGAAAGATCCAAATTACTGGCAACTGGTCGATTCCTTCGTGTGTCCTGGCTCATATCGAGACTCGTTGCTTATTGATCGCTTCGAGATTCCTCATTTGACGATTTTTTTTTATTGTTATTCGTATAAACGGTTATTACATAAAGCAGCGAGCGTATCGAAGTGAACGAGCCTCGACGCGTAGTACTGTGTCTTGAATTTCATTTATGATTTGCTGGCATACAGCCGTGCCACCATCACCACCACCACTACCACCACGTCTGAATCTGTGATACGAACAACCATGTCGGTTCCTCCGACGCTGATAGTCTCCGAATCAACGAACCGAGATTACAAGAATCAACAACCGCTGCAACGCTCGCAAACTGGGGGATTGGAATGCGTACAATCACGTACGCCCAGTCCAACAAAGAGTAGGCTAAACTTCCTGGAAGGATTTAAGAATACTCTACGTACACGCTCGCCGATTCGCAACAATTCCATCCCGGTGAGCCAATCCAGATTAACATGTTCTTAATAATTTTAACTGATAAATACATACATATACGTTATCATTTGTATCAATTGGAATTCTTGATGATTGCAGCAAAGGGGCTCGTCCTCTTCTTCTTGATGCCTGTCGCTATCTACCGCTATCTATTGCATTATCTTCTGTTGGCACAACGATTGTTATATACTTCTATATACTTCGTTAAAGAACTCTATCGGCTATCAAACGATCCACGAACATCATACGCTATTACGTATCCTCTTGACTTGTATAATAATATCTCATACAGACGTAAAGCAAATATTACACGTACACATCTACGAGGGATAATCGCTAAAAAAAATTGAAAAAAATTTCTTGTAACGAATTACTTCGATTCTACGAATTCCATTATCTTTTCTAACATCTTACTCACCACACACACACACACACGCACGCACGCACGCACACACACACACACACACACACACACACACACACACACACACACACACACACACACACACACACACACACACACACACACACACACACACACACACACACACATTTGTGTGTGTTATACTACGTATTATACTATACTGCTGATTTTTTTTTACCACCGTCACCAAATATTACTGCTAGTACTACACAGATCATTATAATCGACATCGCCTCTATAACAACTATAACTATTGCTGCTATACTACTCGTTCTATCAAAACCAATGCTACTACTGCGCTGTTTTCTTCTCTATCGGAATTGCTACTATCATTACATTACCATTACCATCGCTGCATTACGATACTGGAAGCTCTTCTTGGGTCAAACCTTCTGTCGCATATTCTGAGTGAATAAAAAATGGGTGCATAGCGACACAAGTTGCATGAAAGATACGCTTAACAACGTGAAGAGAGTTGGAAAAGACTCTTGTAACAAAGGAACTTCCTTAGGTCGTTCCAGGTGCACGTGTAAGATTGGCTGCGGATTGGGGAAAGTTACACGCTGGAGACGAGCTTATTGTCTCTCACTTGGACGGTCCGGGCTTAGTGGTGTCCCCAATAAATACCAAAGACGAATTGTGGATCCCGGCAAGTCTTATTCCGAACTCGGCAATCAGCCGATCATGGTCGTTTCGACCACGGAAAATTGATCTCGCAAGATGCCACGACGCTGATCCCCGAGAGTCAACAATAATGTCCCCTGATGACAAAACACCAGTTATCCTAAATAGTCCAATGTCAATTCGCGCAATCGTCGGTGAAGTCGTTAGACTGTCTATTGAGACACACAACACGGATAATGCGACTGTCGCCTGGAGGAAGGAGGGCGAGAATCAATATATAAGAGAGAATGATCGCTATCAGTTCCAACGAAGCGCGGGCTTTGTATACCTACAAATCAATGGTTGCCGAACTTCAGACTCCGGGATATATCACTGTCACCTAATAGGTGAAAGGGGTGTTACCTCCGCTGGAATTTCTCTCTACATCGTAGGTCTGTGAATATTCTGATATATATTTAATAATTGCAACAAGATGATCTGTTATACCATGATAGCATATTAGATGTATTGTTAAATCCTAATTGTGTTTCAGGCGGAAAGAGCAGCACCTCAGCACGCGTTTTAACATGTTCAAAGGTGGAGATCGATTGGGACAGGCAAGAGATCAGTGGTGCGTCATGTAACATAGAATGCAGAATTTTACCGTCACAGCAATGGGTGGTGATATCGAAACAAGTTAACGAGCCACCCGTTTTACTGGATGTATCAACAGATGCTTCATATAGTTTTCGAGTGGTGGATGACGATGGGAGGACTACCTCACCATCGATCGTAGTGACCCTGTCGCGATCAGATGTAGATGGTGGCGCGGAATGGGAAGCCAAGCAATTCATCGGCAGATATTTGGAACTGGACGAGCTGGGTAATGGTAGATTCGGGACAGTTCGTCGTGCCAGAGACAAAGGTACCGGTCAAGAGGTGGCACTCAAGCAAATTCCGCGACACAAGCAGTCGAGATTACTGACACGCGCGGAATACGACATGCTAGCTTCAACTCATCACGCTAACATTGTCAGGGCGTTCGCCTTGTTCGAGAACGCACCTCGATCTGGAGTGGACACCATTGTCTTGGAATTGTAAACATTCACAAAAACGTCTCGATAACAGCTATAAAGTATCATAGCAGCATTAAACAATGCTTTCCTCTCTGCAGGGTTAGAGGTCCGACGTTATTCGCACATCTGAGTGAGAAAAAGGAATATACCGAAGCAATGGCGACACGATACACTTATCAACTGTTATCCGCGTTGCATTGGTTGCATTGTCGCAGCCGAGCGCATCTGGATATAAAACCGGAGAACGTTTTGATGGATCATGAGACGGACCAAGTGAAGGTAATAGATCTAGGGGAAGCAGTCAGAGCCCCCATCAACGAGATTGTGCCGCCTCCCGCCGATTTGGAATTTGCAGCACCGGAGTCGGTGTTAGGCAGACCAACCGGCACTTACACGGATATGTGGGCTGCCGGAGTTTTTATTTATGTTTTGCTAAGGTATTTTCCTGAAATTGCTTATTTATATGAATTTATTAAGATTTCTTTTTATTGTACTATGTTTACTCTACTGTCTTATCTTTTGAATACCTTAGTGGATTGTCGCCTTTTTTGGACGACTCTGTCGAGGAAACCACCGCTAACATTCTTAAATGCGATTTCTGTTTTCCCGACGAATATTTCACGATTATATCCGGCTATGCAAAGGAACTCCTCGGGAGAATGTTATGCCTGCGTGGTGAGGATCGAACGAACGCAGAGACCTGTCTTGGTTCGCCATGGTTAAAAGTAATATAAATTTACACTCGATCGTTCTGTTCTTTAAAATAATAATTTATCAATAATCAATAACATTAAAAAGGGCGAAGTAAAAGTCAAATTACAATTAAAAATCTAAATTTCTCTGATAATTTATTCTAATATATTGCGAAGAATATCACGTGATTTTGGTGTTTCGTCACAGCTTCCACTACAATGCCTTACTGATGAGTCCAGTAGTGGAAGCCGGGACGAAACGCCAAAATCACGTGATATTTTTCGCAATATATTAGAATAAATTATCAGAGAAATTTAGATTTTTAATTGTAACTTGACTTTTACTTCGCCCTTTTTAATGTTATTAATTATTGTTATATAAAAGAGTCCTTGAATTTTTCAATTTAATAATTTATCATTTTATAATGTCAGTTCGACATTGCGTTGAAGTTTAATAAGACATTGTTTATTTTTTTAAATTAGATATCATCTGGTGCTACCATACCGTCCACTAGAATGGCCGCATTTATAGAGCGTCGTGCACACTGTTTTAAACTGCGTCAAGACCATAATGACAGTTTTCATTCCTAAGATTAATAATATGCAGTGAGCATGTTACTTAAAATACATAACAAATTTACATATGTAAATAGCAAAATATACTTAAATGTTTAATTGTTGATATCTCCTTTAAATTCCGACATATTGATTAAAACTTTTTCTCTCCTTCCCTTATCTCATAAAATTCTCCTTTTTCATTTTATATTTCCATTTTTAATATCCGTCAGCGCTAAAACTGATCATTAAATTTTGTTAACACAGTCAATGTTAATGAAATTGTAAACATATAGTTTGATAGATTGCCCAAGATTGATGGCTTTTAATAGTGTAAAGATAGATTTTCACGAACTGCTCAAATCGGCCGTTTCAGCGACAAGAAGGATTACATGGTCAATTATAAAGACGAAGCCTTTCCTCATCTGCAGCATCCAAAATTTCCGGTGGACGCTTACATAGTATCTCATTATTCGTCAGAATTAGAAAAAAAATGAAATATTCTAAAATTTTATAAAAAAGTTCTTTGTAGTTATGAAATACTATAAATAACATATTAAACATAAATACTATTAATACATTAAATACTATTAAATGAGAAATACTATTAAAACATTGTTTAATATTTTGTTTATTATTTTACCTCCGATTTCGATGAAATTAGGCTCATTCGACGCATTTTTGCGTTGAATAAAAAATAAAAGAATCTGGTAGAAAAAAGTCCGGGACTGCCCCGGAATCTTAGCTCCTATTATTTTGATTGGCCAAATTGGACGTATATATGCCGCGTTCGGCGTTTGTAATAAACAAGCAGTTACTGTCTCGGGAAAAGAAACTTTTTTGCAGACAATAACGCTTAAATTGTCAAAAATAAAGCAATCTGAAGGTGTTGCTTTGAAATTTAATGAATTCTTCGTTCATAATAATGAACGATTCAATAAAACAACAAAATTGTACAAAAAAAGATTTTTTTAAATGAAACAAATATATGTAATAAAAAACTTATATAAGTCTTCGTTATGTAGACTACTTTCCAAACGTTCCCTTCGAAATTTTACTTGATATAATATGTTTACTTATGCTATATATTTCAAGTAAAATTTTTCTCGAAATGAACGTTTTGGAAAGTAATATTCATAACTAATATTAGAGAAAGAGAGAGAGAGAAACCTGAGAAAATATTTACTATTTTATTTGTTATTTTATAGTTATTTTATTATTTATGAAGTTAATTTATATTTAATATAATTGTTTACTAAAAATCAATAAATAGCTTTGTTCTTTTTATTTAATGTTTGAATAGTTGCGCCTCAATTTTTGATTGGTTGAAATTACCTGTCGCCGCCATTATGCGCAATGTGTCACCAAGGCTGCGTCAGAATCATCCAAGGTGTCGTATTTATCTTGTTTATCATTCGTGAACAACAAGGATAAAACAACATCTGGGTGCATCCCTGTCTAATTCCACATAATTATAACTACAGTCTATGGTTCGTTTTCAGAACGCGTTTTTATTGATAAAAGCGCGTTTTTATCTCTGAAATTCTATAGATGCGTAACGTAAACTATAGCACGTTAGAGCGCTAACATCGTTGTGAGTACGTTTCTGAATACGGGTCTATGACTCATATCTCGTAAACAGCCGAAGAGTCAATCTGGATGACGTCGGGTCGTCGGAGTGGTCGGGATTGTCAGAGAGCCGAAGTCGAGATCTGCGATAGAAACTCGGATTGGAACAAGGAAAGTAGGATTGTCGAAGTTGATCTTCAGCTGTTGCAAGTTGATTACCGAGTACGGATTATTGCTTGTTCATAGTGGTTAAAAACTTTAGGAAGACGAAGACGCGCATTACGTCAAAGTTGCAAAATGTTTCGTAGTTCGACGAATTTTGATAAATTATTAGGTAAGCTTTGTTGAAATTTGTCCAAAATGTCGGAGCTTCTAAGTCACTCATTAATCCACTCGTAGATAAGGCAACAAGTCATATGCAATTAGAACCAGACTGGCCTACAATTATGCAGATTTGTGATCTTATACGTCAGAGTGATGTTCAGTAAGCATAATTTTTATAAAAACTAATTATTTATTTTACTTAACAATTAGAATTTTTACTTAATTGTGATGTATAGTGATCGACATATCGACTGTATTCTGCATTACTTTTAAAAACTCATTAAATATATTATTGTTACTATCTTCCTGACAGCACGTGATACTCTAAGGATATTTTGAGGATATTTTAATTATTGCTCTCAAGCAAGAAATTAATGGAAATGGAAACATTCTGAGTATATCTTATGACATTTTCAGAATATCCTCAAAATATCTTTAGAATATTAAATGCTGTCTGGGTCTGTTTTTAAACATCTTATATATTTAGACCAAAAGCTGCAATCACTGCTATAAAGAAGAAGATGATAAATAGTAATCCACATGTAGCGCTATATGCCTTACTGGTAAGAAATGTATACTATATGTATTATAATTTTAAAAAATTGTATTGTTTTTATATTTATTGATTCATGTTTATTAATGTATTCAGGTGCTGGAATCTTGTGTAAAAAATTGCGGGTCATTAATTCATGATGAGGTAGCTACCAAACAATATATGGAACAGCTGAAAGAACTAGTTAAAACTTCTCCACACGAAAACGTTAGACTAAAAACTTTGGAACTAATACAAGCTTGGGCTCACGCATTTCGTCATTATCCCAAATATAGGACTATTCAGGTGATAAATTTATACCTAAATTCTAAGCAAAATTATAAAGCTTATAACATATTCTCTTAGAACTTATAAAAACTTTTAAGTGCTTATATCTTCATACAATTAGAGATGGTAAAAAGATCAATATATGAACAATGTTATAATAAAATTTAAAGCGCATTTGTTGCCAATTGAATCTAAATAGATATTAAATATAGGATATGGTCAACGCGATGCTACAAATGCTTTGAAGCGTTTCTTGATTGGTCAATTTGTAAAATTCTTTCTTCTGATTGGTTAATCAAACGCTTCAAAATATTTCTAGTGAAACTTTGACCGCACCCATAGTGAGTAAATGCTGATACATTTAGATTTATTTAGTCTTTAGTATTAAATGATATAGCAGTGGATATGTATGTGAATTGGCCCCACACTGATTGAGCTGAAATTAATGTCATTAGTTGCCTTGAGATATTAAACTTCTCCAAAAATTTGCCTTAAAATTGCATTTTTGGGGGAGTCGTGCAGGAGAAAAGCGAAATAAGAAAAGTGATTTTTTTGTAAACAACTAAACCGAATTTAATGAAAAAATATGTTTTAAATATCGGAACCTTTGTGAATTTTTTTTTGGTGATTTTTTTAAGGTAATACTTTTATATTTTTATAAAAACATCTCTAGACTATCTACATCCTTTAATAAAAAATGAAAAAATTATAACATAAAAATGATAAAGATTGATATATTAATATAATTCATTAGAAAGATTTCTTCGTTCAGTAGACAGAAAAAAGTAGAGTCTGAAAAGTGGAGTCAACACAATTAAAATTTGAACTAACAAAAGTTGATATGTAATAATTTAATTAAATATATATATATATATATATATAGTTAAAAAAGATAATTTAGATAACAAAGTAATTGAAATGAAAAAGATATCAATTACAGATCAATAGTTACAGACATGTAAATATGTTCAAATGTTAGAATGAGGCTTTCATCTCAATGCAAGCACAATGAAAGTTGATGTAGTATCGGTACCAAACAACGATAACCAATGATAGTTCAAAACGATATTCCACATGTATGATATTATTGTGTGTTGTTATGACTCTTTTAGTAAATATATGTAAGACTCATCGAGACGCTTTATATCTGTAAATTTAGGCCATATGATTGTTCTTTTATATGTAGCATTACTAAATCTCTTGTGGTAGGTTGGTTCCGTGTCTAAAATTTTAACATTATCCCAATTCATCGAATGATCATGGTTTAATATATGTTCAAAGATTACAGAGTGTTTCAACAAATCCAGTTTAATATTGTTGACATGTTCTTTTTTATACAATATCTATACAGACAGCTTCTTACGAGCCATAAGATTTACAAGAAATTGTAGATATTTACTACAATTAATCATAGGTCTTACGATACATATGCATAACGTTAGAACAATAATCATAAGTTCTTACAAAGTTCTTACGAGAACAAATTACGAGACTTATGATTCTGTTTATAATTGATCCATTATTATGTATTATAATTATCATTATATAATTTTATTTATTTATTTTATTTTTCTCTTATTTCTTTTTTTCAGGATACATTAAATATAATGAAAACCGAAGGTTATCAATTTCCTGCTTTAAAAGAAAGCGACGCTATGTTCAAAGCAGATACTGCGCCCGTATGGGCAGATGGTGATGTCTGCCATCGGTGTCGTGTAGTTTTCGGCATGGTTCAACGGAAGCATCACTGCAGAGCATGTGGCCAAGTCTTTTGTGCCCAATGTTCGAATAAAGTCTGTACTTTGCCAAAATTTGGAATTGAGAAAGAAGTACGAGTTTGTGAAGCTTGTTACGAACAAGTTACCAAGTTGGTGAAATTTCTTATTTTATTCATTATACTCATATATTATTTGAATAGTGTTTAAACGTTACAGTTTTTCAGACCATCTACAACGCAAACCAAAGATACCGACCTTCCAGTAGAATATCTCAAAAGTACTTTGGCTCAACAACAACAAGTAAGTACTTTTATTTTAGGTACTGAGAGAGAATTGTATGTTGCAATAATAATAACATATGTAAACTTATATTTACACATAATATAACATTAAATGTAAATATAGAACACTAATTATTTCCACTTAAATAATTTACAATAAAATTAGTCATTACTTTTTTAAATTAAATTTAAAAGTTTACCAAAGCTTTTATAGAAATTTTATTATTACTAAAAACCTCTCTGCATATGCACAATATATTTTATATTTATATTTTTATAGGTCCCAGTTCGGAAAACAGAAGAAGAATTACGAGAAGAGGAAGAATTAAATTTAGCGATAGCCTTAAGTCAAAGTGAAGCTGAACAAAAAGAAAAAGAAAAGAAACGCGCTACAAGCGTTTTAAAATCCAATTCAACTCCAATATCTAGAACAATAGATTCTCCACCATTATCACCTGTAAGTGTCTTGTTGCGAATCTATCACATGAAATTATTATAAACAATAAGAATCTTATTGAACTATAGATACATATGAAAACAACCAATAGGGAATAAAAATCCATTATGTCGTGAAGCTGGATCTTTAATGTTAAATAATTCCATGTGAATATGTAGGGAAGAATGTCCTAAATTGGACCGTGTTCCAAATCGGACCATTTTAATTTAAATAAATACGGTTAAGCAGATTTGCGTGCTATTTATAATGTAAAATCCTTATGAGACACCGAATATGTGACAGCAGTTTGGCAGTACTCTGTCATAACGTTTGTAGAATAGACGCAAATATGTATTTCGGCTATCATGCAAAAATTTTTTTAAAAAGGAAAAACCTTGTAAATCATTATTTAGAAAATGTTAAAAATTTGAACGGTAATTGATTTAAGATAATTAAAGAGTGTAGAATTCAAAAATATCAAGAGTTTTGTGATTACTTTTGCGGTTTATTGTAAAATTTGTTCCAATCGTTCGAAAGAAGCCGTGTCCAAATCGGACCTCTCTTTGGTTGTTCAAATCGGACCTATACAAAAAACACTAAAAAGACGAGTAAGCCAGTTAATTCATTGAAGAAAGAAGATTCGTCACAACCTGGTTGTAGTACTGGTGATCGACCGACCAGATCTGGTCTAAGGAACACTAAATCAGTAAAATACATCAGACTCAGATTGATGGCATTTTATTGATTTTAATTATAATAATATAAACTATATTTTTATCTTTGAATCTTAAATTGCACGTTTTTACTCATTACTAACAAAAAAAATTAATTAAAATATTTTAAAATTCTATAAAAATATTTTAATTAATTCTATAAAAATATTTTAAAAGTCCATAAAAATAGGAGACGTCCGATTTGGAACTATGAGTGAACCGGAAAATGCATTTTTACATTTTCCATTATAGTTTGACACAAATACGTCATAAGAGATACGTCAAAATGGTCTGACATAAAAATGAAGGGGAGGGGGGGAATTAAATAATCTTTCGAACGGCACTATTGGTTTTATGATCAGACTTTATTTACGTCTTATAGAGAACAAAAACTGCAAATAGGTCCAATTTAGACCACTCTCCCCTATATATAGGGTATTCCAATAACTATTAGCATCGGAAATATCCTTGAATCTATAATGTTTAGAGAAAAATTTATATAACGAAAATTGCTCTTATTATTTAACATTCTCTGTTAAATTCTTATTTTATCTTAGATATAAAATTTTGGTGTAATGTTTCTTATTAGGGTCCCAGCCCATCACAAATACAAGATGACGATGAGATCGAACCTGAACTTGCTAAATATCTAAATCGTAAGTATTGGGAACAAAGGCAAACTGCAAATGAAGATCATGGATCAATTGAACATGGATCAAGAGTAGATGTGACTAGTCCATCTGCACCCAATATAAGCAGCCCAATGCCTCAAAAATTACTACTAGTAAAACAGGAAAATGGAGAAATCGATACTCAAATGGAAGAATTCGTAAGTGGTTTAAGATCTCAAGTTGAAATTTTCGTAAATAGAATGAAAAGCAACTCCTCAAGAGGCAGATCGATTGCTAATGATAGTTCGGTTCAAACTTTATTTATGAATATAACAGCTATGCATTCCAGGTATGTTTTAAAAATTGAACTATTAATCTTTTTTCTAATATATTGGATTTTCTATTTTGATCACAGAAAATGTTTTTTGTAGATTATTAAGATATATTCAAGAACAAGATGATAGTAGAGTGTATTATGAAGGCTTGCAAGATAAATTAACTCAGATGAAAGATGCTAGAGCTGCTTTAGATGCTCTTCGAGAAGAACATAAAGAAAAATTACGTAGAAGGGCAGAAGAAGCTGAGAGACAGCGACAGATGCTAATGGCGCAAAAACTAGCAATCATGCGAAAGAAGAAGCAAGAATATTTACAATATCAACGCCAATTAGCTTTACGAAAGATTCAAGAACAAGAAAGGGAAATGCAAATGCGTCAAGAGCAACAGAAACAACAATATATAATGGGTAATTTGTAATTTTGTTATTTACGCATTTTTTAATTTATTTTATCTTTATTAAAGTTATTTATTTTATCTCTATTTTTGCAGGAAATTATCAAGGTATTCCAGATTTTATGGGCCCTTCTCAAGGATCGCCTGTCCGTCATGTACATTATCCGAATCCAGGAACTAATTACAATCCGATGTCACCCACGAATCAAGGAGTTTATATGTATGGTCAACCAATTATAAATCAATATCCTATGCAGAGTTATAATATGCCACCGATGAATACTCTGCCAGTGCATATGATGCCATCACTTCCTAACCCGGAACAACAATCACCTGATCCATCCATCCAAGGACAAGAGAATATAAGTCACGTATCTATATCAGGCCCAGGAATGGTAAGTGCAATTTTTTAATGCCTTTATCAATCTTTTCTATTGACAAAAATCTGTGGCTAAAGATTAAAGATTATCAAGGAGATTCATCAATAAAATTTATTTATAAATTTCTTAGTAATCTTTAATCTTTAGGTAATATATTGTAAAAACCATGAGCTTTAAAATACTTTTTCTTGCAGATACCGCCTCAAATGACACCATCTATTCAACAGATTCAACCACCGAGTAATCATCAACTAGGATCTCAGCAAGGTCCGACGATACATATGTCATCGGGACAAACTTCATTAGGCAGACATATACCACCTCAACAAGGCGCTTCGTCTCAAATACCACAACAGGTTCCTCCATTGACTCAAATCAGGCTACCTTCAATACCTCAAGGACATATTGGTCCTTCATCAGGTTCGATAGCTTCGGGGAGTCACGTACCTACTGGTACAATAGTTGGTCTACCATCGCAAATAGGATCACAATCATCTACTTTACCTGCTACCCAAGGAGCCTCAATACCAACGCATGTTTCCAATACTGCTATATCATCCCAACCTTCAAGTGTGATTCAAGTGTCTGCCGAATCTAATAGCGGACCTGTTCCTGCAGCGAGCAAAACTTTACCTGGTTCCCAAACACCTAATATACCAACAATGCAAGGAATGGCTCAAATTCCTGCTGTGCAATCAATATCATTTCAACCTGCTCCTCCAGTCGCAACTACAACTAACGAAACTATCCAAGATGCAGAAGAAACAAAACCTAGAACAGCAGAGCTAATTTCTTTCGATTAAATTAAATTGAATATTATATACAATACATTTAAAGACAAAAGATTTCTCTTTCTAAATTAGAACATTATAAAGTTAAGATAACATTTACTTATTTTAACAAATAAACAATTTTATCTCTGGTAATAAAGTCATAATTTTACATTTATTGATTACTGACATAATAGTTAAATGTTTTTAAGAAATATCAATAAAATACGAATATGTATTAAAAAAAAATATTTATCCGAAAAAAATATCCGAAAGCTAGAAAATATGAATTCGCTACAGATTAATTTTATATATACATATTGTGCACATTTTATGATACTAAAAACTATTTCTTACTATATTGTTCTTTGAAAAAAAAATTGTTTATACATAATAAACATATAATTATGCATATACAGAATATACTCCTATATAAATAATAATACAATTTCTGAAATAAAAATACAATTTCTAATATAACATATAATTATTGTTAGTTAATATAACATTTAATTATTGTTAGTGTATATTTTTGTGTTCAATTCTCTTAAATATTTATTTTTTTGTTTTATTCATAAAATGTTAATTTTTTTCAGAATTTATTTATTTAAAATATAAATGATTAAACAATAATAACGATTTATGTACAATATTAGTACTTTAATTGTGTACAATAGGATCATACAATGTGAACACAATAACTAAAAAGCAATGCCTATATGAAGGTCGAAGTTGAATCTCGAGTGCTTTAAATAATTTTATGTAAATTTATATGCGATGTTTGTAATCTTCCAAATTGTCCGCACGAAATGTTGGAGATGGAGATTCAACTTCAGATTGAGGTATTATATTTTGCAATAAATTTATTTACAGATTTTTAATATTCAAATTAAGATCTTAAAATGATGCCAATTGAGCATGAAATTATTACATTGCTAATCAATTTGTGATATTACTATGATAGTTTATTTGCGTTTCTAAGTCCAGAAAATCAATTCGGTGCGCAATAGAAGACTACTAAACGTGGTACATATAAAATATTTTTCACAATATAAATTAATTATTTACAAATTTTTAATATTTTATTCATAAATTTTAATATGTCATTCAACATTATTAAGATCTAAGATGCTATGAGCATCAGAATTTTCAAATTGCTAGATAATTTAACTCGTGATATTATTACGGTAATTTCATAGAGTGGCGTTTCAAGACCGAAAAATTGTTCGGCGCGCGAGAGACTATATATACGTATATAAATTTACACCGAATTATAATAGCACCTAAGATCCAGCTTCAACCAGTATAGGCATAGCTTCTTATTTATATAAATAATTAATATCATCTAAAGAACCTTGTACAACTTTCTTTATTTTAAAAAAACTGTGAGCTCAAAAGGATACATAACATGTATGAAATAATTACAAGAATTGTTGCACGATTTTTTTACTATTAAAGTGATAATTATTTGGTGGTAAGCACCATGAATAAATTTTATTTAATTAAATGAGATGTATCTATATAAACAAGGATAGCCTTAATGATTTCTAATACAAAGAAAAGTGTGATATATTAATATTATAGATTTCACTTCGTTATTTTTTCTTGTGTTAATCATACGAGCGTTCATTGATATTGTTCAATCACATATTTGATAAAAATATCATTAAAATTACAGTTTTATAGTTTACATTATAAGACGAAATATAAAATGCGTTCACACTAAAAATTTTTTATTAATTTAGTCAAGCAGGCTGTTTTTGCTAAGTCAAAAGTATGGCATATACACATTTTCATTCATCGTCTAAGATTTTTTAAAGATAAACGTTTAGTTTAAATTACTAGTGGGCCTATTTTTAATCACACAGTTTCCACTTGCCCCTTTCTACGTGGCTTTGATTCTTGTCCTTGCGGAGATGTAAAAGACGTTTCTTCAGAATGATTCCCAATTACAGACGAAGATTCGCTGTTATTCGAGCAAGCACTTTGACTGTCTGTCCTTTCTGAACATATGTGCGTTACATTTAATCCATTGGACGTAAGAGAAGTTTTCCGAATACACATATCCTCTAAAGGAATCTCCTCGCTCCGTGGTCTTGGCATCTTAGGCGAGCCGTCTCTAGATCGCAAACTATTTTCATGAATCCTCTCATTTGAACTTGCATCATCATGTTTAGAACTCGATGATGGCACCGGCTTAATAGTCTCCCTACGCATTTGAGTTGCAAATCCAGGAACTTTATTTACCGTAAACATCGGCCTTGCTTGATCCCTCTGTAGTCTTTGACCACGTCCGATTATACCTAAAAGAATTGAACTGATTATTCACAAAGATTCTGCTGACTAATTTTAACTTTAAACTTACGTTCATGTCGTAAACTACGCAAAGCATGATTGGGTTGTGTCGAACAATGAGATGTACTCGTTGGAATATCTAACAATGTTGCAATCTGATTCATCTTCCTTTGTCTTGCTTTTATTCGTCCTTTTGTTAATCTAAATTAACCGATTTGATTAATTGTAATGATAATATGATTTTGACGTTTCCTATAAAACCAACCTTTGTTTAGCTGCCATACAACGGATATGATCATCAAAAATAAATTTAGCCGACAGCAACGGTATACGATTGCATGTGCTACTACTTAATGGTTTGTAAATTGTCAGGTACAAACATCTTGAATCATCCTTGTCGCCGGTCACATCAATATCTTGCAAAAAACCAACTAACTTTGCAACACCCCATCCAAGCCTACTGATATCAGGTTTCACAAGAATTAATTGCACAAAATCAATAACTAAGAAACGGCGAATCTTCTGACCATCTTTCCACACGACAGTGCATGCAATCAAATCACTATTATCTGTAAACAAAGTTATAAATAATGAATCTTGCGTTATTTATCTAATTTTATTTATAGTTACAATCAATGAATAAATAAAATATTGCATATAAAATATCGCAAATTAACTTTATCATTTTTTTAAAATAATTAACCATGTGGTTAAAATAAATAACTCTTACTTAGATCAAGAACGTTGTTGACTTTTACGCAATGAGCTGGAATAGTCAGTGGTAATTTTGTTTCCACTTCCCTATTGAGTGTTAGAAATAATTCTCGTATTAAAAAAAAAACTCTTATCGCACGACGGGCCCTTTCCACCTGCACAATCATTTATGATTTTATTATCTTATTATACAATGTTATTATTTTTCTGCAGCTTTATAGGTTTATCTACAAATACATAAATTTCTTTGTGTTTCTTCCTACCTCACCACATGGTAGCCTTTTACTAAATTCAATTCCAGTCATAGGTGTACCTGTAGGTGGCAATAAAATATTGCTATCCATCATTAACCATTCGACATTTAACGGTCGTTTTTGTATGTCACTGTATTCATCCTCAAACATATCCAAGAAAATATCTTCGCTCTAAACAAAATTAATATAGAATATTTTTAATAGAATGCATTTGTAAGAGAGAGTCTAGAAGCAAACAAAACTTGAGGAAGTACGCCTCAGTTTAATTTCAATAATTTAAACACCTTATAGAAATTTTTTAGCAAAGATGTGCTTTGTTCTTTCGCTGCTTCAATGACTGCTAGATGTGATTCTCGTAACAGACATTGTCCTTCAGATACTGTCAGTTGTGTTAATAATTTGATAGTTAATTCCAACGTAACCAGCCTCACTTTGGAATCTAAAAAGGAAATATTTGTATAAAATTTGAAAATAAAACAATATATATTACAAACAAGGGCTACGAGCCAAAATTTAAAAACTTTGTAGTATATGTAAATATTAAATTCATAGATATTATAATGGAATTATTGACACAACTCACTTGTTTGACAACTCGAAGTTATAATATGAATTAATCTATCCATGAGTAATTCATAATAGGGATTTTTCGTCGACGTATTATTATGGAATGGAGACAGAATTATATCCAAAATTTTATGACTTATACCCTAGAAAATAACAAAATTGACTTATTATAAAAAAAAACCATTTATGAATAAAATAAGTCTCTATCAGAATTTATAATTATTACCTGGTTATTAGCTAATGCATATAATAGACAAAGCGCAAATAATGCAGCATAATCATTTTCTGTACATAACAAGGAATTGGTTATTGTTTCTAAAAATGGTTTTTTTGTTAAAGATTCGAATATGTCATTTTGACTTTGATGAGATAAAGGGCTCTCCATTGCCAAGCGTTGCTCTTTCTCCTCATCCGTTACATTCAATTGTTTAATTTCATCTAAATCCTCTTCACTTGGAAGGCTTGTAATATCTGATAATGTACTCGTATGAACAGGAGTATTTATAGGGGAAGCATCGTCAAAGTTTATATCTCCAAATTTTTCTAGAACACTATTTATTCCAATTTGAATCGTTTCTAAATCGGACATGAGCATTACAGTCGCTAATGTATGTACAAGAGGTTTGTGCGATACTATCAAAAAGACTTGAGAAAGTAGAAAAAGCGCAACCACAACACTGACGTGTTTTTTTTCTTCCTAAAAAATTCAATTTAATTATTGCCATAAAGAAATATTATCTCTTTAATAACAAAAATAAGCTCATTAACTTTAAATAATTTTTTAAATATTCTCATGTAGAATAAAATGCTAAACATTAAACAAATAAGAAAAATAAACTCGTGCCGCTTAAAAACAGTTAATATATATTAATTACTTTTATAATAAAAAAGATAAAAATTTGATTTTTACCTGAGTTTGGCACGTGTTTTTGTATTTCATTAGAGAATAGACATACAACGGAACTAACAATTTGTGCAATAAATGTTCAGATAGAACTTTATTCAAGTCTCGTATATTCAAAGATAAAATATCATTTAGATAATGGAGATGATCCAAATGTTCGGCAACCAAATCTGACAATCTATTTTGACTTTGATGACTAAAAAGAAATACATTATCATTACTATTAATATTATTATTGTTACTGTGAAGTTTGATTTAAATAAGATTTGTCAGAATAACTATTAGGTTAAATTATAGAAAGATAGATATCTTAAAACTGGTATATCGGAAAAACAAGTTGATAGTTAAAAGCAAAAGAAATATTATAATTAAACTGATGCCAAAATCTATGTTTGAATGCCTCTGTTTCATTCAATGTGTAACATTCCACACGCACTCTCAAATTACATACTATCTTGTTATTCGCCGCGGTAGAATTAAAAAGGCGTTGCGTATGATATGGCGGCACGACCAATTAAAAATCAGTCATGAATATTTTTTTTAATTTGTTCATTATAATATGTCAATATCAAATATAAGAATAAAAAATAAAAAAATAGAATCAAATTATCAAACTTCGTTGTACTCATGTAAGCTATACTTAGGGCTGAAATGTGCAGACACCGTTACTTTGTTATTATGCATTTTTGGAAATACAATATCTTGTCTAATATTAAAATTCACGTTTACCATGTTTCATCGAAAATTGAAATTTAATTTTATTGATAATCTACTTTAAAGCCTACCATGATGTTAGAAATTCGAAGATCTCGACCAGAGAAAGAATTAACAAATCGTGTTTCAATAATGTAGTCACATGACGACATGACTAATGCAATTAGTCAATTTTTTCTCCGTTCGAGACTTCGAACTGACTTCTAGCATCGTAGACTCAAAGGCTTAATATAATTTAATCTTAAAAGCAAGATTGTGTATTGTTTGAGAGTGTAATGAATGTATGTATGTACAAGAGCGTTGAATGAAACAAAGACGTTAGACATATAGTTTGATAATTGCAGAGTTTAATAATTGCAATAAATAGGAATTAAACTTTTTCTACTTTCAACTACTAATTAATTTTTTTCAGTGTACCAGTTTCAAGATCTCTATTTTTCTGTATTATAATTACTGTATTATTCCTTAATACACACAATCGTCATTTCTTTTCTTTAAAATACTAGGAATATCTTATCCTTTCCCTAAAAAAAAGTTTAGCATTTAGAAAATAGATTTAATGAGTTGCCAGCCCCTATTCGTGCATATTCTTGGATAAGATCTACCTTTGAAGTTCATCTTAAATCACAAATAACTCATCGTGTAAAAGAGTAAACTTTCTGTTGAGAACTTTTAATATTTCTTTATTTTCAACTTTTTAGCTCTTATATTGCAGAAATTTCATTATTAAAAACAAAAAATAATTAAAATAATTTTGTGCTAAAATGTTGCTGTAATATTTGTGTCAAATATTATATACAAATATTATAAATAATAATTAAAACGTTTCTGCTAATTATTAGTTGTAAGTTTTTGTAACATAATATCAATAATAAAATAAATTGTTGAAAATATATATATATATATATATATAAATGCAACGAATATCCAAAATATACTACAATTAATACCTATTAATGCTTATTAAAAAACTATTTTTAAATTATAATAATGAATAATTCTTTTTGAATAACTAACACCTGAATTTTTTTTATTTTAGTTTAGAATATCAATTAAGGTATAAAACACACTTTTTCTTAAATCACTAGCATTTCAATATTTTAAATTTTAATATACTTAAAAGTGTATTTCTCTCATTTTTTACAGATTATTATTAATTTTATAACATTTATATATTATTTTTTTAACTTTATAAATACTTTTTAAAGATGTTAAGATATATATAAAATTCATTCCATAATATTCATATGTTTGTAGACGTTATGAAAAGTAACCCTATATAGATTCATTATATAACAAAGGATTAGAAAATCGTGTGTATTAAAGATATTACTGCTATTACTACTATTATAGAACAGAAATTGTGATAGAAAAGAAAAAATATATATTTTAATATTGATACTTACTCTGCATCATTTCGAACACAGGTGTCTAATTCTATAATATGATCACCGATAAACCATACAAGGTTACTGAAATATGGTGCTGCAGTGCGATCTCTTATAAAAGTAAGCATAGATGCATCCTCAACACGATACACATTTAGAGTCAAAGTTCTCACAGCTATACGCACCATACCTTCTGAATGATTGAAAAATTTGATCGCTTCTGTATACAATGGGAAATCATTGGTATGCTAATGACAGAAAAAACTTGTTATAATAATTTTATCAATGTACAATGGATAATTCCAATACAGATATTTACTATATGTACCATGAACATAAACAAGGATGTAACTAAATAAACAGGCACAAAAAATATCATTATGTGTGTACCTCGTTTACCTCGTTATAGAAGAAATGTATTGTATGTGCGTTTAACTTCAAACTCAATGTTTTCAGGAAACTAATATAATATGCCATTACTTCTTCATCGCTAAAGTCAAATTTGTGTACTATTATACTATTTACATGATTGTTACTTAATAAATAATCTGAAAACGACAAATTTTAATAATTCAGGAATCATTTAATAATATAAAAGAAAAATTTTACAAAACTCACATAAGGATGTCTCATTGCGTATGTTCTCAAATAAAATATTCAACGTTTGAAGCAATTGAACACATACATAGCTTCCACATTTTTGCTTCATAATCCGCAGGAAAAACGAAAGCATGTTCTTCTCCAGAAAAAAACTGTAAATATATAATGTATCCTATTAATCATATTTCTACACTTTTATGTACTATATTAACTATAGTTTTAGAATAGTATTATCGCAATAAAAATCCAAAAATATTGTTATGATCTCTACTCACTCAAACACACTACTATCATTTTGATCACCCCAAATGAGAATCTCAGCTATTGAACGTAGAGTTTCGACCAGCAAACCTCTATTGTTCTCAGACACGGTATGATTTTTTGACAAAACATTATACAAATATCTGACAACATAAACAAATACATGCTTGTAAGAATCTTTTGGATTTATGATACAAGTATTATGTTAGTCGATTATCTGTACATACTTAAGGTGCTCTAGGGAATGTGGGTTTCTGGGCTTCCAAAATCCGCCACTAAACCAGCTCCGACTGCGAAACATTTTCAGTTACCTCGAACGAACATGCCTGCATTCGCGCGTTCCACAAACTGTACCTGCACTACTCTACAACAACTCTTTTTCTCTTTATCACGCAACAATCATAGAGATGTACTGTTCTGTCGAGCCCTTGTTCGTCATATGAAACAGCAATATGCGCAGTATAACTGTCGAGAGCACGATGGACTTTATTATACTTTACATCGCCATTTGGGTTTAGGTTCAGATTAAAATGTTAAAAGTTGGATTATTTCTTCTTCTCCTTAAACAACCCTTCTACTTTTTCTTCTTTTAATAAGTTTAATTGGTTTTGACTTGACTGGGACTTGACGTTCACAGCCATTCACAGTCCTCCCGGCTAGAGTCCTATATATGAGAAAAGCGACACTCAACCCCCACTACCACCGTTAGCATATGTTCAGTACCGCCATGTTTAGCTCGCTCCAGTTGATCAGAGTATCGATCATGTAACTTTTTCTTTAGAATGGAACCGTGAAAAGTCACAAAAGTAAACATTTTTATGTTTTTAATTCCCATTCTACTCTTTACATGCATTCAAAACGATAACTATACTCACTAATGCCCGTTTTCATCATTTTCCGAAAGATGACAAATTCATTTTTTGGAAAGTGATGAAAACCGATCCTCTTCTTTTTATAATTATGGCACTGTGCCACAGAACAATATGTAGCATTTCTTTTTGAGTTTACTTTATTATTTTCCATTATAGCAACGAAGTAAAATTAATTTTGTTTTCTGATTGGTTGCAGAGTCGTCGTACGACGAAAATCGGATGCAGTGTGAATCCAGCAATAGGGCTTAAAGAAAAAGAAGAACAGACTTATAATAATTAATATTTGAACATATGATTTGGACAGGCTTGACAACTGTACTTTAACCTAATCTCATAAGTTTACAAACAATGATACTTTCGACTGTCTCGCGTGTACTTGTTCTGTTTACCGGGTTAATTAGTATTGGGACGTGTAATAACGCATATAATGACTTTTTTAACGAGGAGTTGCTGCTGAAGCCCCTGTCGAGTGGACATGTCTATGCTTATTTTCAATTTACTACAATATGGGAAACGGCAAATTGTGCAGAAACACGTGAGTGTGCTAAAATAACCAAGGGTTTATAAGCTGATTCTATAATGAGTCGGTAGTTGGAAATTTTAAGTTTTAGGCCTTTATTACAAAAATAATCGTAACTGAGTCGTGAAATGAGAGTCATAGTTTTAAGTCAATGCACATTGTTTTCAATCTACAACTATAATTTATATTTCACCATTCAATTACGGTTATTTTTATGAGGACATCTTTAGGCTCTTAATCAGTTTTAATCTAAATAGATGACTGATTGTTTTGCATCTAGAAGTTGTTAATTATACAATGAGTCGTTTAGCTCAACTAATGAGAAAGAGTAAAGTCGAATTTGGTCAGCTTAAAAAATCGATAGTCTTAGTTGTACAAGTTGATTGTTGGTCAATTTCATCAATTCACCAATATGACTTATAGGACTACTGACTACCAACTCATTGTAGAATCAGCATTAAGCCATAAGAAGGACGAATTACAGTTAATTATTTTTATTACATTGGGCTGTAATTGGTCAATTTCTTACAGCTTGAGCTTAAAATACCTATTGTAGATTCAGATTAATCAGAAGTCTTAATCAGAGTCTTATGTCTGTTTCTACCAATGTAGATTAACTTCAATCTTGGTTTTATGATGAACTTACTGTTCATCTTTTTCTAATTTTTAGAACTAAAAAAAAGACGAACAAATTGAACCGAGATTAAAGTTAATCTACATTGGTGGAAATGGATATCAATCTTGTAGGTTGGGTCTACAACCTCGCTTTAAGAAGCTTAAGCTGTAAATTACTTTAGATAAATATTACGAAGAATATTACTACGTTGACCCACCATCAGAGGTCTATAGATATTTGCAAAATTCTTGCAAGTGCTTTGATACGCATATATCTCTATATAAAATCTCGACTAAATAACTCTGTCAGGTATATAAGGTACATTTCCAATACAATGCCTTACTGATGAGTCCAGTAGTGGAAGCTGGGACGAAACGCCATAATTACGTGATATTCTTTGCAATATATTAGATTAATTTAAAATAAAATAAAATGGAAGACCATTCTTTCGGATATTGAAAGTTGATCCTCCTTCCTTCTCTCCAACTCCACTTTTATAAATACAGCGCTTATAAAGAGAATCCCTTGGAGGAACAGCTCAGTATTATGCTGCTCCTTGCTCTGATGAAGTGAAATGCAATGTTCATGAATTATTACTGCTATCTATTGAATTAATCGTGTAATTATTTACTAACAGCGAATAGGGCGTTTTGAGTATACATCCATATTAGGTCGTCCGGTTATCTTATTATTAATTGTTATTAGTAGTAATTGAAATTATTATTTTTCGCCAGACAAATTTGAGCTATTGTTATTAGATAAAAGATAATATTTCTAGTTCAACATTCGCATCTCTTTCCAAGGGGATTGGGTGAAATCATAGGTCGTCATAATGTTGATGAGTTGCATGTTACTTTAACGGAAGGTTTGTGGAATTATCAAAAGTGGGGATATCCTTTTCATGATGCTGGACCTGGTGCTGAAGTCACTGCTTGGTTTAATAAAGACATAACAAAGTAAGTGATAATACAAAAAGAAATAAAATAAAATTTTAGGACTAACAATAAGTGATAATTATTTTAATTATGTTAGTATTCATAAATATTAAAAATTATATTGCAAAGTAATTGAATTTGATAATATGAATAAAAAGGGGCAAAAGAGCTGATAATATAACAAAACCAAAAAACTTTAATTCAAATAATAATGATACATGTAGCTGCAGACGTTTCAACTCCGATCGGGTCATTCTCAATGTTACAAATAAATTCGTTATACAAAATTTGTTATCCTTCAAAAATTACTCCATTCATATTCTTTATGCTTTGCGTCAAAAAGATGAAATTCAAAAGTCAAATTGTTTGAATTTGAAATAAGATGTAGCTTGAATTTGATTTTGATATATTGTAGATTTAGAAAAATAGATTAAACTAAAAAATATTTGGTTGCTGATGTCACAACTTCAGTTGTGTAAAAAATAAAGTTATAAAAGCATAGTAATATGTAACATGTTATATTTTTTTTCTAGCATAGAGGAGGAATGGAAAGGCCTTACAAATGCTTTGGCTGGATTACTCTGTGCATCTCTTAATTTTGTTGATACCTCCAATAGCATGTCGCCGGAGTTTACTTTCCGTCCTACCAGCGTTACGGATGGACCAGTGAATTCTAGTCATTTATATTATTCGTCATTACCGAGAGAGATAGTTTGTACTGAGAATCTAACACCATTTAAAAAATTATTACCTTGCGACTCCAAGGTATTTGTAAATTACATATTATATTACTACATCTGCGTCATTATATTGATTTATAATCAACCATTTGTCTTTCCTAGAGAGGTCTAGCTACATTGTTAAATTCTGCGCATATTCATAATACAAATTATCATTCCATTGGAATACATTTTCGGTCGATATGTCGCGATACAGCCTGTATGAGAACATCTTTAGAACTACGACAAACTGTTTCCTTGATATATGATACAATGGTAGATGCGAATCAGGTGAGTCAATCTATATGATGTTATTACGAATTACATGTATATTTGTTGATTATTCACGTCTTTAGTTTGCATAGGATTGGTCGATACGAAAATTTTTTGGAATGGGACTTAAAGGCGCATGTCCGCTTGCAACATTAAGTAACATTTATGTTGATATATCAGATAACAATACGAATCACATGTATGAATTAACGCCATCGCCGAGTGCAAAAGTTGTTAGTTTGCGTGGTGGACAGCAAAATGAAATAGCAGTATACAACATCAAAGCTCATTCCAGTAAAGGAATATTTAATATCGCTGCAATACATAGTGCACCAAAGAATAACGCAATACTTTATCCTTCAATCCTCTACGCGAATAGGTATATTATTGGTATGTTCTACACACATATAAAAAAATTCTTATAAATATATCTTTATTTTGTATTATATGTATAAGATGAGTCAATTTAATGTCCCATCTTAAATATGTTCCCTACATTTTTTACAAAAAATATGTTTTAAATGAAAGATGAACACTTTTTTTGAGGGGTCACATATTTTGGTCATGTTATTTTTATTTTTTACGACACGCCAAAGAATATATAAGCTACCTCCACTTTTTTAAGTAGAATTGTGTGATTTTTTTACATAATATAATTTTTATACAATTATTATATAAAAAAAATATGTAGGCAAGATGGATAATTTTTAAATAAGCAATTATGTGTTTTCTTTATACTAATAACTAATTGATTCACCTCATTATTAATAAAAGTATTAAAGTATGATTATGAAATAACATGTTGTGCCGTGATTTATCGGCACTAGGTTCGGGATCTACCAAAGATTCAGGAATCGCGGCGTAAAATAATAATTTTCCTTTTTTGTAAAAAAAAGAAAACAATAAAATTTATTTAAGACTTTAATCATCGTGATTAAAATTCTTACACTTTCACTTAACACTACACGTATCGCGCTAATTTCAGAGTTTTGGTTTTTGATTGACTCTTCGATTGCGTCGGTCATCTCGTTTTTATTAGAGATCATTCTTGCTGATTCGGCGCTTGCTCATCAGCGTTTCTTAATATCTTATTATTAGTTCGTTTAAATTGGATTTTATTTTGCCAGTTGTTTTTGACCTTTGTGCAATTTGACCACTCGTGACAAACCGTTTATGAGATATTTAATATTTCGTGTCAATATATGTGTCAGAATAAAGTATAAAATATCTTATAAACTATTAATAACAAATTTGAAAAATAAAGGCAACAAGTCAATCCAAGATGTATTTGCTAATATTAAACTTTAATAATATAAATTTAAAATATACACGTTTCAATCTATTAGGTCATCTTCAGTGTAGTTAATTAGTTGAAATAAATTTAAAATAAAAACAAATAAAGTTATATTATCTACATTATAAATATCTATACGATTGTTTTTAACCCTCTCTTCTAACATAATTAATAAAATTAAAGATAATATAAACATATAACCTTCTAACATGACAAATACTTCGCTCGCAATTCCTCCACTATTCATCTTCAAGTGATAATGAAGTTCTTATTATAATGATTCCGCTTCGATAAATGGCACTTTGTAATTTCGATTTGGTGACCCGTAATCTGATCATTGTCGTCAGGAAAATGTTAAATTTAATTGTCAACTCATAATTTTTTTAAAATTAATGTAATAGTTAATTTAATGAGTAATTAAAACGGTGTACCTATCATACCTTTTGAATAATTTTGAAAAAATTGCAAAGATCCACTTATCGTCAAAATTTTTTTTTTGTTACGGTTGAAAGAAACAATATTGTGACAAAATTAAATTTTGTTACAATATTTTTTCTTTCAACCGTCACAAAATAAGACTTAATTCGAAGGTGAAGTGAAAAATGACACATTGCAAACATGGAGAGACATTCTAAAAAGGGAAAAATTAAGTAATAGGAAGGAAAATTAAAATTAAGAAGGGGATAACAATTATAATATGGAAGACAGAGATCATTGTGTCACTTTGTTTATTCAATCCATGATCTTCTTTTTAATATGGACTATCTTCGAAATCAATCTTTTATTATAAGATGATTTATTATCTAACATTTTAACTTCATCCCATTTAAAATCATGATCAAAAGTTAATTGGTGATTGGTTAATACGGAAGGTAAACCTGTTTTCTTAATATCACTCACATATTTATTGAGTCTTGTTTTTAATAGTCTTGTCTACACTATTAATTTTTTTTATATCTCTGCCTTAATACTTTTATATACATAATAATTGGAGGAATCATATTTTGTAAGAAAACATTACACAATTTCATATTAAAAAAAGAAAAGGTGATTTTCATATCTTTCTGATAAAAAATAACGTTATCAAAATACACATTTCTCGAAACTTAAATCTTTCAACTAAACATTTATTTTATAAAAGGCGTAGGTACATGCGAATTGTATATATATAGTAGACGAATGCTGTTGGCGTTGCAAGTAGCGAGGACACTCGTTTAGAGTGTAAACGCTTTCCTAAAAAATTTTGCTCGCACTGCGAGAAAAATGATACTTACATTACTAACAGGAGTCTACCTTTTCTTTCAATGTGGATATTTATATAGATTAATAAATTATTCATATGTATTAACATAATTTTTCAGGATATGGTCAAGAAAGAGGCAGTTTAGTGACTAAACTATACAACAATCACTGGCAGGCGTTAGATATAATCTTATTAGAAAATATTCCCTGGTACTTGTTGGTTTATTTACATTCCATTACAATAACCTGTAATGAGCAACAAGTATATCCTTGTAAGTAAACATAAAATAATATGTGTAAGATAACATAGAGTTGTCAGGAAATTTATTCGCTATGGAACATGCATGATTTAAACGATCAATAAAATTTATAAAAAACGTTTTATTATTATGAAAACTACAACATGATTAGATGTCGGTACATTCTTTATTATTACAGTGGCACAACGTTATTTACCTGGAAGGGAGAGAAAAAATCCATATTATTTAGAATTAATTCTGCGCTTGCTGCCACATTCAGTAACGAAAATCACCATCGACATGGATTATTTATTCCTCAAATGGCAGGAATATCCGCCAGACGCTAATCATGGATTTTACATGGGACCAGCTATAATTACAGCCTTATTGCCCATAGCTAGAAATTACACGGCTTTGCCGCTCGATGGAAGTACAATTACTTCAAGGTTTGTTTATTTAACAATTGTCTCTTTTGCTAATCAAATAAACAAAAATCTTTTCTTCTCGTTGTTATTATAAGCAAATAGGTGATTGAAGCGATTATCGATTATTAAACTTACAGTTTTAACGCTTCGAGGGACAATTATTTAGTACAATTACGGACAGAGTCCTTGCTTATCAGTCTTCCGACTCCTGACTTCAGTATGCCTTATAATGTCATATGCCTTGCCTGTACAGCTGTCGCGTTAGCATTCGGCCCACTTCACAATATTTCCACGAAGCGACTAGTTTTGAAACGCATTAAAAAGGACTGGAAAGGTAAATTATTCTCCTTTTTTGTAGGAAAGATATTCGGAGCAAAGAAAAAACAAGACTAAAAAATTATAAACGAACTGTATGTATTATATACACGCAAACTGTATCTCTCTTGCGAATAAAAATATTCATGTTCCTTTCCATGAATAATAAATAATTTTTAACAATAAACAGATGCAAAATTTTTCTTATGTGCGATTATCGCAGAGATTACGGTGACAAAATCTCTTTGAACTTCTTTCCTAACAGAAGATACGCACTTTTATATATAAAACAAAACATCATCACTTTTTAATCTTTATCCAATGATAATACTTGCCATAAGTATTAAATAGTGCATTTATCCTGTTTTGTATGTTCACATATTTCTATTTAAATTATCCATTTATATACATGAATCAAAACTTACATTAATGTTATAATAGATTATAGTAGATCTCCGCAAAATAAACTGCATTCCTTGACTATCATATATATGTCAAACTACTAGAGGTCTCCTATTCAGTTTAAAAAAATATAATATAACAATTAACATAAGCTAACTTTGAATGGTCGCGTTCAGCAGATTCAACTGTTGCGGAGCAGATATGTGAGCGCTCGCTGTTATTGGCTAATCTAAAAGAATATATCAATAACAGTGAGAATGCAGTTTTTTAAATAATAAGCAATTAAAATTAATCATTTATTTCATATTTCTGTATACTTTGAAAGAACATGATTATATATATATGTATATATCTGTTCACCATGCATTACTGCTATAACTATGCACTTAAATCATAAAGAGTTAATTTTAATTGCTTATTATTTAAAATTATCACGCAATATATCAATATATTTGTTTACCTTTCCCTTATCACAATTTTTCTCATCTTTCTCTTCTCGCGTTTATACATTTATTTTCTCTTTTATTTTTTTAAACATGATAGGAGAAACACTCTATATTCTGTAACTAAACACAATCTGACTCAAATCGATGTTCTATTTATATAACTCAGTTTTTTATTCTGTAAAGTTGCAAAATCATAACAGTCTTATGATAACCTAACCTAACACAAATTCAACTATTATATTAATAATTAGAATAAATATAAGAAATAACATGTGTGTGTACAAGTGTAAGTCATTACTTATTTATATAATAATAATAAGTAATAACTCACTGTACATTAATTTTGCCTTTTTACGATACAATTTACGAAAGTCAGAGACAAGCATATGCATTTTTTTTTCCCAAATAATCAACAATCGGTATTTATTCCTATTTTTATCTTCGTTGAATACGCTATTCAATAACTAGTCTGTCGATGAGCGTGCGGGGTAAATGCAAAGTTTTGTGTAAAGTTTGTTTCGGTGATAGTTTTCGCAAGAAAGATTTTGTGATTGAAGACTCCGCGGTGTTCAGGGGATCTCTGTTCTCATCGCATGACGTTCGAGTACTCGAATCATTCTCTTCTTCGTCGGATGAACAGAGGTCAATCAACATTATTGTATGTGATGGACACTTTTTCTCTTTGGCTGATTTGGTAGCCTCAGCATTGTCCGAAAATGATTTCACAGCAGCAAGGGCGATTAAAGTTTCTTTAGCTGATGTACTAATGTTGGTTTCTTCTTCTTCAACGGTAATTGGATCTGCATCATCCTCCAGTGGCGCCTTTCGTTTCGAAGATACAGATACGTTTTGCGTGTGGGTCGTCTTTCTTGACTTCGTTTTGCACGCTGGTCCTGCTTTTCTCATTGATAAAAATTTCCGGACATTGATATTTCTCTGAGGACATTGATATTTTGAGGGATCCTTTTTCAATTCATCAATTTGCTTCTCGTTCAATCGGGTAAGAACAACATAAATAGGTCTGCATGTGGCATAGAGTAATTGTGACTGTATACTCAGTACTGAAAAGAAAATATAGATTATGTATATACATATAATCTTCCTATAAATATCTAATAGAGATTTAATATCAAACTATTTTTTAGTATATTAATTATTTTTGAAAAAAGCCCTGTTTTGTTTCTTTATTTGTAAAAGTATAATATAATTGAGTCTGTTTCTATACTTTATCGTTTCTTTTAATTTTTACTTCTCTCAAATTGCTCCTCTATTATTTTATTTGCAGGGAGCAATGCAAAAAGAAGCAGTAAAGAATACGAAAATAGAATAAAAATATAATTTCTCCTACTCAATCTGTACTTCAATCTTTCTATATTATTTTTCTTTAATTCTAATTTTACAAAAATACTTAAAAAGGAAACTATAAAAGCAGATGCAGTAAACAAAAAATACGCGTAAAATAAATATGTTAGACAATATAAATTTCATTAATATTTTCAACTGTATAAAAACTTAGTCAATATTCAATCATCCTCAGCGACGCAGACAATAAAACAATTTTTTTTATTACATTTTATATTGAGCATTGAATTATATTAAGCTATATTTTTTATAAGCTCTCTCTTTAAATACTTTATTTTTTAAATTTTGATTATTGAAAATTCTTTTAGTGTTACTTAATGAAATTTTTAAGTCTTTTGTCTAGTGACACGTATATTCCTAAGTTGTCATTTTACAATTTACAATAAAATACGTACTTGGTTTACTTTTAGAAGAATTCATAAATTTATATTGATGCACATAATGATCAGTCGGTTTATCTCGATTCTGTTTATATGTCACTATCCATCTATCATTATCCATTTCCGTGTCCAACCATTTTGGTCTACACGAATTGCTCAATATCGGCGCGATAACGTGCCTTTCTATTCTATCTAATCGTTCCTGTTGTGTTTCTTCAGTCATAGCCTTTGACTTTTTCGTTAGCATTATGCCAGCAGGTGATGAAAACGGGATGGTAGAAAATCTTGTAAAATTAAGAGAACTCCTAACACGTCCAGAGGTACGTCTGACGATACCATCGGGAGCACTTGCGTTTTTCACATCAACCGATTTAGATTCAGTCTTACTCGATCGTAACTGGAAGTACTCCAGAAATTGATCCTGTTGTAGCTCAGGCTCGACCATGGATAAATCTGGTGTGGACGAGCGCGAGCCACTACACCCACCATGATCTTGTTCACAACATATTTTTTCATGCTCCTAGATAATTGCACAAATAGGAAAGTTTAATAATCAAGTATCGTTGATGCATATGAATTTTAGGTTTACGAGAGAATCAATACATACCTTCATATTTGCAAGGCCCACAAATTCAGCATCACAATTGTCACAAAGATAAATATCATCACATGGTGGTTGAACTATCATGGGAGCTTGTTGCTTTGCTTTTCCATTACTTGATGCAGATGCGTTATGGGATAACAATGTTCGTCGGGGACTGTCATTTCTTCTGTCATAATGCTGTAGGCGCAGAAAGCTTTCTCATTCATTAAATCAAGGAGAGATATAACAAACTATTTGAGGTACTTAACAAAGTAACTATTCTATATGTCAGTGCACCTGTAGATAAAATATATATATATATTTTGTACACACCATGTTTTCATTACGAAATGTTACTAGTAGCTTTCCTGTACTTTTATGATACAGACTAGTCGTCGAGTCCCAATTATTAACATACTCTAATTCATTATGTGGGTACTCAGCTAAATAGGAACAAAAACGTAACAAATATTCACTTCTATGATACGTGTAACATCGGAAAACCAGTTTTTTTAGATTTGCCATCCAGCTCTGAAATGACATTTTAGGAGTAGCACTTTTTAAAAAGCAGAGTCAATCGATACATAATGTTTTGTAATTGAGATATATTATTTAATTGTGTGTGTGTGTGCTTACATCATTGATTTTTTTGGGTCTTGTTAATGGACTTGAAAATTTAACATCTTGAGGCCACCACTCAGGCTTATTAATAACCTTAGTTGTATCATGACCCAGTGAACAATGAACCATAAATAATATAAAACGTTCTAGTTGCGCCTATAGAATTCATTGATATATTAAATTTATAAATAGAATATAGTTTACAGCTAAAGTATACTTATTATACTTAAAATAGATGTATTAGGTGGATCTATATATTCGTTCGATTTTTGAAGGCTAAAATGAAACAGGTGTTTTTCATACAAAGGATGAATTTTAATCAATGATATCTTCTCCGTTTTTGTTCATGACCTCTTGCCATCAACAAAAACGGAGAAGATATCATTGATTAAAATTCATCCTTTGCATGAAAAAAACCTGTTTCATTTTAGCCTTCAAAAACCGAACGAATATATGGATCCACTCAATATTTAAAGTTTGTAAAAAAAAATGAAACTTTTAATTTAGGTTAGTGCAGCGATAAAAAAACAGATAAAGAATAGCGCAATAGTTTTATTGTATTTTTAGATATAATTTATTTAATACAAAATATTTTGTTAAGACAATTACCAAATATTAAAACTAATACAAATAGTATACAATTAAGCACTTGAAAATATTAATAAAATGGGCAAATGAGAATTAATCCGCAAGTTAACAATTAGCGTGAAATTTATTAGACAATATTTAATAATAACAAATTACATAAATTTAATACGAACGTTTCGACTCAATTCGAGTCATCTTCAGCGTAAAAATTCTCAAATATGGTCAAATATTGGGGAGATCTGGTCACAATGGGTAAAACGTATTCCGACTATCAAATCCCAAAGGCGTTGCATTATTGTCAAATTAACAATAACACACTGTGAGGTAGACAAATTAAATTAATTGTGTTAATATTAACAATATAATTAAAAAACAATTTGTGACAAAATAATTCCCAACTCACTGTGACAAAATAATTCTTAATTAGAAGATTAACGTAAGGCTTAACAAAGCTGTATCACATTGTGTAAATTACTGAGAACAATTATCAAATATTTTACAGAAGAACATTTTTCGTGTGAATGCTGTACACTACAACGACACAATAAAGTTGAAACGGCGACTAACAAAGTGAATTATGTTTCCTAGGCTATTATTAATAAATAAATAAGAACTGACAAAGAAACAAGCAATAAAAAGTTCCGTATTGTTAAAATCTTAAACGATATAAAAATTAAATAATTTAATATTGGAAATACATTTTGATAAAAATACATAAATTAGATAAAATAATGTGAAATAATCACTAAAAATTAAAAAATATAAAAACTAAAAAGTAATAAAAAACAAAAATGTAAAAAGTTAAAAAATGTTCTATATGAAATACATATATGTAAGTCAACTTTTAAAATTATTTAAAATATCCATATAGACGCGATGTAAAAATTCCGTATCTGATTTTTAATTTAAGACCATTCACTTGCATTGTAATGTGTGACATTTCAGAGATAAGTCTCTTTCCCAAAAATCTTTCACTGTCAAGAATATGCACCTTGTCCCAATCGAACTCATGATTGCAAGATAATCTATGTTTAGTTATGACTGTAGAATTAGCACTTTTTCTATTGATGTTACGATGTTCATTAATTCTCGTTTTTAATTGTCATCCCGTTAGTCCGACATAAAAAAACATTATATTATAATTTTTACAATTCATTTTGTAAACCACATTCTTTTTTTAACCATGTGGAAGAACATCTTTTCGTGCTTTAATGAGTCTGTCAAGTTTATTGACACTAAAAAATGATAATTTAACATTATAGTCTTTATTCAATTTTTTGAATTTTAATTTACATTGGCAGTAAGGAATTTTGCTACTCCCATTGTTAAAAAAGCTTGTGTCAAAAAACCTTTTAACACGTTGACTGCCACGGCAATTTTCAGAAATCTGGCCTAAAATGACAATTTAATTTAATCACATTATATTATTAAATCCATTTATTGTTTTTTAAAAAAAAGGTCTTACGAATTATCTCGTAGTTAGCTTCTATAACAGAAATCTCTTAGCGGGAGCCAACTACGAGTTAATTCGCACACAGACATATTTCGAGTTTAATCGTAGCTGCACAAAAATGGCAAGTAAACACAGGGCGAGATAACTCCTAGTTGGCGTCCTAGAAAAGAACGCAATCTACGAGTTATCTCGTAGTTGGCAGTCAACGTGTTAATAACTCAATTAATAAAAAATTATGGGAATTATTTAGATTTGCAAAAAAAATGTATTAAAGAGAAAACCAATAAATTTTATTCACGAGAGCAGATAAGGGTGATGTGACAGTAATATTGGAAAAAATGATTATAATTACAAAATAACGAATCTATTAAATGATGAAGATACTTACACATTGGTTAATAAGAATCCAATTAAAAAACTCACAGACTCAATACTCTTATTATTAACTAAATGAGTCAAAAAAGAATATATTGATTCTATTACTTATAAAAGAATTTATTGTAGCGATACTTCCACGCTTATGGACTTCCCAAAATTCATAAACCTGACATGCGGTATAATGTGATACAACTTTGTTAAGCCTTACATTAATCTTCTAATTGGGAATTATTTTGTCACAGTGAGTAAATTGTTTTTTAATTATATTGTTAATATTAACACAATTAATTTAATTTGTCTACCTCACAGTGTGTTATTGTTAATTTGACAATAACGCAACGCCTTTGGGATTTGATAGTCGGAATACGTTTTGCCCATTGTGAGCAGGTCTCCCCAATATCTAATCATATTTGAGAATTTTTACGCTGAAGATGACTCGAATTGAGTCGAAATGTTCGTATTAAATTTATGTAATTCGTTATTATTAAATATTGTCTAATAAATTTCACGCTAATTGTTAACTTGTGGATTAACTCTCATTTGCTTATTTTATTAATATTTTAGAGTAATTAATTGTTTAAAAAATAAGATAATCAAAAGGTTCAGTTAAATAAATCACAAAAACAAACAAGATACCAATATGAATCAACACAAGTTCTTAATGTGCACTTTTCATACAATTTATTAGACATAAATAATAAAACATATAGAAATAAATACAGGGTTGCCACAAATCTTTCATCCTAAAATTCCCTGACACTTCCAGACATAATTTTATGATTTTCCCTCACTTTCAATAATACATATTTTGAAATGTTTTTTGTATTTTCATCCTGATTTCAAAATTGTTAAATATTTTGTTCATCGAGCAATTTAACGTAACAGGATAATTAAATTACTATTAATGTTGCTGACACAGCATTTAATTGTTAAGTTAGTAGTATTTTTTATCTTCTCTTTTTATGTATAAACATGATTCTTTTCCTCTTCCTCTCTTTCTTTTTGCTGCTGTACTTAAAATATAAGGAACATAAATCAATGAATACAGTTTCTTTTTTATCAAAACTATGTCCTGTTTATTCAAATCTCAATTTGCTTATAAAGTTTAACATGTTTGAAAGAAAAATCACAAAAATATAAAATAAAATTTATTTTACTCACTTGTTCACAGGTGACATAGAACTTTCTTATATAAAACTAAAATTTTTGTAAACAAAGATCTTTTTTAGCAATCTTTGCATTTTCTTATTCTTTCTTAGAGCGCTGCTTTTCCAATGCTTTACCATACATATCCCTCGCATTTCGGTAAGATAAAATTAACTTGAGATGGGTGACCATTTAGAAGCATCATAAAAAATTAATTCTCGAATTTAGAGGAAAACTTTTTTTCTCACGATTTTATTCTAAAATTAATGCTAATTAGTTAGTAATACGTACTTTAACAATCTAACAGTAATTAGGGAAAACTGACCGGTATGATCCTACTTAAATTTCTATACGAGTATATATAGTCCACGTATGTCTTTCGTATAAGTGGCGTCGAGTGGCTCACCGCTCGGTGCGATTGACTCGCGATATGTAGACCCGAGTTCTCAATCCCACGTGCGCCCAAACGCGATTTTTCGCGTTTAATGAGCCAAAAAATGACTCCACCAAAATGGTGATTAAAAGATCTATGATCATCAGCGCCGTTCGGATTCGGCGTTAAACTGTAGGTCCTATACATCAGTATACATATTAGTTATAGATATTTGTCTCTAATATCTGACTGAGGTAGAATTCTGTGGATCAATCACCCACAAATCCGAAAAACAATCTGATTCGAGAAATGAATATAGGCCTCGGACAAAAGAGGAAGAGGCCTATAGACGTCTTATGCTCCACATAAGGAGATAAAAGGAGTCGTATCGTATGTCTTTCGTATAATGATAATGAAGGATTGCATTCAGTCGACCAACTACATTAGAACAGTTGATTTGTCGAAGTTTTATTCATCGGAGAATTCTTAACTGGAACATCTACTGCGTATCTATTTTATTTTTATATTTTTTGATGTTGCGAAGATCTGAAGATGGCTCAATATAGAAGCCGAAACATGTAATTCTAATGTCAATATCATATTACATTGTTAAGAACATCAATCTTCTATTTTATCTTCGTAATAAAAAAAAATTTTTTTTTTTAAAGGACCCCTCACAAAACTTATGGAAAATGGTTTTCGGTCAAATTGGCTGAAATTTTAATATGTTATAGTTTTCGCCATGCTGATAAAAAGTTATCATTGCACCAAGTCCCAAAAGTCAATATTTCCCAAGACATAAAGGGAGTAGTGAAATATGGTCATCCGCAATAGTAAGACGTATGTTATAAGTATAAGTGATACATTGATATTTATTCGCGAAATAAATAAAAATCATTTCGCGTGTCGTCAGATTTAGAGGCTTGCGGCGCGGCGGTGTGCGCGGCGCGTGCGAGAGAGAGAGAGAGAGAGGGAAGTGCACCGCTAGACGTGAAGGAGAGGTTGTTTCTTTTCTCTTCAACTCATTATTCTCTGGTTATATTTAAGGTCTAATATCTCGTTAAATATTGCGTAAACTGCAAAATGGTATAAGACTTTTCGACTTAATTCGATCTACTCTACCTGCTCTAGATAGGTGATTTAATCGGTTAATGACACCCTGTGGTGTCCCAGACTAACCGGAAAATATTACATGAACAGTTAGAGCGGACTGAACTGAGTCGAAAAGTCCTCTACCGTTTTGCAATTTTCGACTCAGTTCAGTTCGCTCTGCCTGTTCATGTAATATTTTCCGGTTAGTCTGGGACACCCTGTACATACATGTAAAAATCGAATTTTATTTATTTCGTGAATAAATATCAATGTATCACTTATACTTATAACATACGTCTTACTACTACGAATGACCATATTTCACTACTTTGACCCTTTATGTCTTGGGAAATATTGAATTTTGGGACTTGGTGCAATGATAACTTTTTATCAGCATGGCGAAAACTATAACATAGTAAAATTTCAGCCAATTTGACCGAAAACCATTTTCCATAAGTTTTGTGCGGGGTCCTTTGACATATAAGATTAGTTTTAATTTTTTATTCTTATGCCCTTTATTCATTTTTAAATTTATTTATTAACAAGAGTCCTTTATACATAATTTTATTGGAAAAAGTCCTCTTTCCACAAATGCTTGATCATGACTCAGAATAAGGACTTTTTTCACAAAAATATACAAATTCTGAAATTATCCTGACCTGAAGCAAGTTTCTCCAGAAATGATCAATTTTTAATTTTCTCTAACTGCTTGCATAAATTAATTACTTCTTTTTATGACAAAGAACGTTAAGGCTCCTGAATACTCAGCCAAGAACTCCGTGTTGATGGTAGCGACACCGAATTAATCGGTGGCCTAGCAAAACTGGTAGTTATACACACAAATACAAGCTCATTTTCAGGCCGAAGGCACAGTACTTATACTGTGCCGAAGACGAGCACACAGATATGGGCTCATGCTTGTGTGGATGTGTATAGCGCCTCGCCATGGTAAAAGGCTGAACTAATAGGCGTGGAAAAGTGATGTTTTGACCAGTTTTGACGACAAAATTTTTCTTGCGTGCCATTTTGTCAATATTTGCTTATTTGTGAAAATGTGACTTCCCTCGTACTCGTGAAAGTCCTAAAAATTGGCGGAAACTGCAGTTATCGTGAAATGTTATATGTAAAAGCGTATCTTTCACTAGTTTCATCAGCTGTTAAACTGTGTGATTCTGCCCAAGTATAGGCTCACTTTACGTGCTTTTTACGACCATTTACTATCAGAGGAGGAAAGGATAGTTTCCGCCAATTTTCACAAGTGTTTTTGAGCAATCTCGCCTTTTAAATTTATTCAAATTGTCTTTATTAAAAAATGGGACGCAAAAAAAATTAATGTGTTTTTCTCGCCTATGACGTCACAATTCCAACATGGCCGTCGCCAGTATTCAGGAGCCTTAA